AGGTGATCGAGTTCTTCTTGATGCAGGTTGTTCCCAAGCATATGGTGCAAGAGAGGAAGGAGATTACACCAGCTCCGGCCGACATCAAGAGCCTGCCGTATGTTGCTGATCTCAATACGGTACTTCCACTAGGAAACAAACAGGCCGGGCTTTCTTTGGGTCAAGTATCCTTGGTATTGCTTGTTGATCTCATGGTTGCTGCCATCACTCCGGCACTGGAAGATGTAGTCAAGTTGCTCCACGTTGCTCTCATTTTATGGGATCATTACATTGTCACTGTCCAAGAAGAGGCTAGAGAAATGTTGGTTCACTTGATCCATGAGCTGGTCGCTGCCAAGACAGAAGACGATGCCCCTGCTGGCACTAGGGAATCTATCGAGGACTTTGTGGAGATGATCCGCAAGAGTGACCCCAAGGTTGTCTGGGAATATGAGGACAACAGTGACAAAGATGATGCTGATGACGGCCGCCGTGTTCCCACGTCAATGTCTGATGTTACCCATAAAGTCGTCGGGTTTTTTAACCTTGCATATGAGGGCATCAATGATCTTTGGGCCAAAGAAGCTCTGAATTGGGCGACATCGTGCCCTGTCCGACATCTAGCCTGTCGATCTTTCCAGGTATTCCGTTGCATATCCATGTCACTCGACTCCAGGATGCTAGCCGACATGCTCGCTCGCCTGTCTAATACAATTGCAGATGAGGAGTCGGATTATCGGACATTCTCAATGGAAATTCTGACAACACTGAAGATCATTATCGGGTCCTTGGCTCCTGCGGATCTTTTGCGCTATCCACAGCTGTTCTGGACGACGTGTGCTTGTTTGAACACGATCCACGAAACAGAATTCGTTGAAAGCATCGGTATGCTAGAGAAGTTCTTGGATCGTTTGAATATGGGCGATCCCATCGTAGTTGCAGAGCTCATCAAAGGCCAGCCCCCCAAGTGGGAGGGCGGTTTCGGTGGTCTCCAGGATCTGGTTTATAAAGGATTGAAGTCAAGCGAGTCTCTGAACCTCACGTTAGACGTTCTACATCGTCTGAGCGGCCTTCCAAACAATGATCTCATCGGAGATAGCGACAGGCTCCTTCTCACAGTACTGGCGAATCTGCCCCACTTTCTCCATCAGTTCGACTCGAATGTTGACAACCCCAAGACGTTGGCACGGGCTACTTTGCTTGCGCGCGTTGCTGAGAGCGAAGGTTGTCCACGTATTGCAGCCTCTCTGCTTGGGTTTGCGAACGGACAGTATAAGGCGGAGAACGATTTCTTGAGCCACATCATCACCGAGCTGCGCTCCTACTATTTCCCTCGACTGGATGTTCCGAGCTTAATCTTCCTCATGGGACTACTGACGAATACCACTAAATGGTTCCGCGTCAAGGTCATGAAGATACTCTGTGTCCTGATACCGGAGATTGATATGCGACGAGAGGAAGTGACGAGCCATGGCCCTGACCTTATCTCACCATTACTGCGGCTGCTGCAGACTGACCTGTGCCCTCAGGCTCTGCAAGTCATGGACCACATTATGACAGTATCGGCCAACCCAATGGAACGCCATCACCTTCGAATGAGCATGGCCTCGGCTTCATCGTCACGGGCCGTTCGAAAAGAATACGAACGTATTCAAAGTCTTTATGGAATACCCGAACCGACCGGATGGTCAATTCCGATGCCTGCCTCTCAGTCTAATATCACTCGTCAGAATGTTCACGCGGTGTTCTACACTTGTGCAGAGGTTGACCGCATGGAGGTGCAAGAAACCGTCAAGCCTGAGGTCGAATTTCATGCAGACGAATACAGTGACTCGTTCTTCCCTATGCGAGCAGATACTATGAAATCAATCGACACGCAGACGGACGGCAACATGGGAGATATCGTGCAGAAGTTAGACAGCCTGGACGACTTTTTCGAAGAGGCGGATCCACTTCACCCGGTCTTAGACACCATCTCAGACCCCGCACTACGTAGCTTTGCTGGTGCATATGCTGATACGAGTGCCAGTCTCTACGATCAGCAAACGGCGCCGATTTTGCGCAAATCTCTTGCCCGGACTGCCTCGATATCCTCTTTCCACAATGGACTTGCGGAGTCTCGGCCGCCAAATCCACGGTTCGATAGCGCTGGGGTACATATTTCTGGTACATTCACACCCCCCGCGCCTAGCCAACTTGCACGTCCAGTGTCTCACACTCGGTCCGTGACGTCTCCGGCCAATCATTTGCCCTCGCCATCCTCGTCCAGTGTACAGCAAGCCACGCCTGTCATTGGCTTTGGCGAGTCTGCGTTTCTTTCGGACGATGAGATAGAAGACACGTTCGCTGATAGCAAGCCATCTATACCACATCCCATCAACCAGGTGCGAAGCGCTACTGAAGGGTCATCGTCGCTTGAGTCGATGATTCGCAGCGGCATGAGACGGCTCACTGGTGGCACGGCCCCGAGTCGAGACAAAGAGCGCCAGCGGGATCTAATCCGCGCACAACAACGGACACAGGCAATTAGCTCACCACGCGTGCCTAAAGTCCCCTCTGAATATCTGAATGGCCCGACTAGCAATCCAGCATCCCCGGGACAGCAATGAGATGGCCCCTGCACCTCAGAGCTCTTTGGTGGACGCTCTATCCTGCGCAGCTTGGCACTCAATTGAACGGTCATTGGCATCATTGAACGGCGTCTCAACACATTTTTTTTTAAATTCTCTTCTGGCGTTCAACATACCCATTGTCAATTGCCGTGGTGTCGTACGAGCGGTTTACATATTAACCTCCGATGCACTGCATCCTCCTTCAGTCTCTGTACATTATTTAATTTAGACATGAAACATAACGAGCATCGGGTTCACCCTAGTGCGTGGTTGTAATAGCTGTTTTACATTCTGTAACGTGAGTTGTAATGACGCTCCGCAGCCTTACCGAATTGGGCTTTCCCCGCACGGGATCGGGGTAAAGATCGACATCCCCATATTCCATCAGTTCGCCAACACCTTAATCAATCGATGTGTCTACCACTTTGTTGGCTGAATGGCAAGAATCGGTTATCTACGGGGAAACCACCTGACTGCAATTCGCTGCTCTACGTGGTCCTCGGGCCCAGTAGCGCTGACCCAGCACATTGATGAACTACAACTTGCTACATTCACAACTCCAACTTACGATAGCTACCACTTTTGCGGAGCGCCGGATCAAACTGCTTGACTTTGAAGCAAGGAGCCATTGGCATCAGCGCATGAATTGCACCTCGTTCGATAGGCTGTTTCTTCCCAGGTTCTAGCACTTATTCACACTCAACAATGGCTCGTCTCGGTGCTCTATCCCCGCTCCTGCGGGGGACCCGCATGTCAAGAGTAGCCCCTTCAGCGAGCCATCCTCTTCGAAAGCCCCCCATCAGTCCAAGAAGGCTGTTCTCATCCTCTACACAGAAATATGCCACGTGGGGATTCATAGGACTCGGACAAATGGGTACGTACGGCGCCAACCCTCTCGAGCATGCGTGTTGCAGGTGGCTGACAGTGCGATTCTCTGTCTAGGATATAACATGGCTAAGAACATACAGTCCAAGATCCCCGCCACCGACACGCTGATGATTCGCGATGTCAATCAAGATACCACCGTGCGGTTTGTGGAGGAAGCTCGTCAGGCAGCCAAGCGAGCTGCCGCTGCGGGCACTGGCACTGGCATGGCCAATGTTGTCGTGGCGGAGAGCGCGAGAGATATGGCAGAACAAGCTGTAAGTAGTTCGAGCTCTATCTAGTTTTCAGACCAGGGGTCTATGTGAAATCTGGGTCCGGAAAGATTTTATCGCGGTGTATTGTCTGCAGTCTTTGTATTCATCAATACTTGACAAGCCCAATGTGGGGCCCCCGGCATCATCTTCTAACAAAGCACCCGTTCTAGACGGTCGTTATCACCAGCCTTCCAGAGCCACAGCATGTCAAAGACGTCTTTTATTCTATTCTCCGGCACGGTGAACTCCCACCCCTGGAGCAGGAGCGTCTATTCATCGACACGTCAACCATCGATCCTAGCTCATCCAAAGAGATTGCCAACGCGATCCACACCACCGGGCAAGGTCGCTTTGTGGACGCACCTGTGTCGGGGGGTGTCGTCGGGGCCCGCAACGGCACACTCAGCTTCATGTTCGGTGCCACGTCCCAGACCGGTCAATTCATCGACCGAGTGAGGTCGGTCCTATCCCTTATGGGCAAAAATGCGTGGCATATGGGCGCCCCCGGTGCCGGGGTCTCGGGCAAACTCGTCAACAACTACATCCTGGCGATCAACAACATCGCCACCGCCGAAGCGATGAATCTGGGCCTGCGCTGGGGTCTGGATCCCAAGACTCTTGCTGATATGGTCAGTACGTCCACCGGTCGGTGCTGGCCGATGGAGGTCAACAACCCTGTGCCTGGCGTTGTGGAGACGGCGCCAGCCTCTCGTGACTATGCCGGTGGCTTTGGCGTCAGCTTGATGAAGAAAGACTTACGGTTGGCGATCACGGCTGCAGAGGAGTCGGGCTCACCTCTCCCCCTGGCTGATGTGGCTCGCACTGTGTACAACGCTGTGGAGGAAGAGCACCGCGGTAAGGATTTCTCGGTGGTGTACAAGTGGCTTCAGGATAAGTCGCAATAACAGGGGGGTTGAGATCCTGGGTGGACGTTCGCTCCTAAGGAATCGAATGCCGCAGAGCTCGTGAGAAAGACATGGCTTCTGTTACGTTGTGAAATTGCCCTTTCAATACTTGCTATTGCCATTTATGCACTGAAGAGGAGCCCAGGACTATAGATCTCCAATTCCAGACAGGGAAGACCTAGGAGCACTTTGAATTGAAGACGTACTAGGCATCCCAAGCAAGAGATGAGTTCTCTTCGGATTCCGTATTCAGATCCACAGACCAGTGGACATGTGCGGCGAATTCATGCAGGACTTAGTAGACACGAAAAAGGCACAGCTGCAGCGCCATGTTTAGCACGCTTTGTAAAAGAGCAACATGAATCATCATTTTGTCTATACCAATTATGTAAAGATATTAAAAGTAATAGTCGTCCCGACCAACGAGACACAGACAGACACAGACAGACACACACACACACACACACATATGTAGATATATATACGTACTCCGCTCACAGAAAGGAGAGCTCCACAACACCGTCTTGCACCAATGCATCCATCCAATCTCACAGAGCCCGTCCTGCAACCAAACTTGTGATCACCTCCCCTCCACTTACTCCTCCTTCTTGACCCCCTCAACCTCATCCTCACTCCAGTCCAACAACTCCATAATCTCCTCCTCCGACAACTTCTGCGTCTGCTTCTCCGCCTCCTTCTCCAAGCTCTTCTGATACTTCTTCTGCCTCTTGCGGGCATTCTTCCCCCACTCAGGTACCCCACTCGCCGTCGCGAAATCCTCCTGCGTGACGGTGGAAGTCGCCGCGGTGGAGGTGCCGGTAGCGGTAGCAGCGCCGGTGGTAGTGGCGGCGGCATCCTCCTCGTCGTCAATCTCATCGTCCGTGTTCTCCACCTCCCCGAGCACTCTTCCCCCGCCACTACCGCCACGGAGCGCATTGGCCGACATGCGCGCCTTCTTCTTCTCGCCCTTCCCGCCGCCGGCGGCCGCTTCCTGGGCGCGCTTCTTCTCCATGTGCTTCTTGCGGTCCTTCTCGTGCATCTTCTTGAACCAGGCTTCGATGTAGGGCCGGATGATCAGGTAGCCGACCACGGAGAGGATGACCTTGGTCCAGCGGCCGGTGGAGACGTTGGCGAAGGAGCCGTGCAGGTTCGTGATGAAGCGGGTCACGACCGTCTCGGCGACGGAGTAGAGCTGCGTGAAGAAGTCGGTGAGGGCGTCGAGCGCGACGGCGCCCGGGTTGGGGGGTGGGGTGGACATGCTGTTTTGGTGGATTGAGGACTGCTGGGCTTTCGTACTGTTGTTCTTCGATGCGGGCTGCTCAACTGGAGGTTCAACCGGGGAAGAGGAGGGCGGGTTTGGCCGGATGTACGGACGGAAAATTGGAAGGGCTGGTCTGCGGTAAGACAGCAAAGGGCCCAGCAACTCGGATACTGCGACTGTTTGCACCACAGAGCTCCGTGCTTTGTTTTTTTCTCGCAAAAGCCAGAGAAAAATTGTACCTGGGTGAAAGGGCCACCTGTGTACTAACTACTCCGGAGTAGGTCAAGTAGCTTAGTTTCGCCGCAATAAATCGCTCATGATTCGGAGTGGAAATGCCGAAAGTGGAAATGCTTTTGCTTTGAGTTTAGCGTCATTCTCGGCGGCCCGAGGGTCGTCCAGCGGATTAACTCTCGTTCCGGTGGGTTGAGCTTCGGCCAATCACGGTTTAATCTGCATACTCAACGCGTCCCCGACACGAACTGGCCGCGGGAAGTCGTCGCGCATCGGCAAGCTACAGTTCAGTTGGGTACCATCTTGATACTCGTTCGAATTGCGTCTGGTGCTTTTGGTCAAGCAGGATTGGCGATTCGCGTTGTTTGTCTTCTCAAGTCTCCCGTCTTGAAAGCTGGAATAGCTGCGATGGATCAAACCGAGGAAGCTGGACTCGAAGAGGTATGTATCCCATTATCAGGGTGGTGCGGTGCTTGCCCCCCCCCCTGCGTATACGGCTTGAGCAGTTGTGCTGATTGTGTTGTCTTCGAACTCAATACAGCGTTTGAAATCTGCTCTTTGGCTGGCAATTGGGAGGATCGTGGACGAAGAGACTATCAAGCTCGGTATCAACGCCACGCCTCAGTTTATCGGGGCATTGACAGAGTTGGTCTGGGCTCAGATAGGTTGGTGCTTCTTTCCCCCTCCTCTGCCTACCATCGAGCCAGCATGCTGGATGGACTCTATCAGCAGCGTTCTTTCAGATGTCTCTCGTTGGATGCTTCCTTCTCTCGTACCAGACTTGCGCCCGAATGCTGACTGATATCCCCAATAGAAACCGTTAGCCAGGACTTGGAATCATTTTCCAAGTAAGTGATACTCTTGAGTAATTCTTTTGCCTGGGGAATTTCCTGTCATGACCAAAAGCTGGCTGCCTTCTTGCGGTTCTGTCTGACGCCCAGAGACGTTGATATTACGATATGCTGACATGCTCGGCTTTCCGTTTTAGGCATGCCGGCCGCTCGACGGTCAATGTCACCGATGTCATGCTCCTGGCTCGCCGCAACGAGGGCTTAGAGTCCATTCTCCGCGCGTTCGTTGAGCAGATGCGCGATCGAGAAGCCTGATTCAATGGGGACCCACTGACTGGTGTTCCCTTCGGCGGGGATTACTTCAGTCCAAAGTTAATGTGCAGATCTACCCGACTGCTTCCATATCATTGGTGGCTGGGCTTCTCTGCCATTCAGAGCCAACTTTTAGGGTATGCAAGGCAAACCCATTCACTTCCGTCTCATGACAAGTCCCCGTAATCGAGGGGGTGGCTAATCTTTCGACAGGAATGGTGGCGGGCCGTGTTCCCAAATGACAGCTGCGGAGATCAAATTGACGTGAATCTAGAAGGTCTAATTCGTCGCGGTTCATGACGCCACTGCTCGAGCATCCTGACAACGCAAACAGGCACGCGATATCTCCGGGCGCCATCAACCTCGACGGTCTAATCACGGCGCCAATTCCAGAGAATTCTGAACCTATCGCTGAACCACCAGCTATCCTCTGACGTCGGACGAGGGCCAGCAAATCATGCTCGCGCTACTCCTGGATTGATCCAGAGAGAAATGAGAACACCTCCGGGAGCCACCTGTGAGGCTCGCTTCAACGCAGGGTCAATGCAACCTCAGATACCTTATGTTGTAATGATTATCAGATGAACAGCCTCTCGTCCGACCAATTGAACATCATGTAGACAAAGTACTGTATATACACTTTAACCACCAATGAAATCTGAAAACATATCCTGCTCGCGAGGGAGACCTCATATCGACTTAACGTCATTGCCACGTCTGCATTTCGCCGCGACATCTTATATAGCACTCGCTTCATGAAAATGGCTGTATCCACTTTTCTTTGACAGCAATCCTTCACCGTATTCGCCATTGCGTGGCTCCACGAGTATGTATAACACAATACCAACTTATATCTCACGACGAATCCAACTCGACGAGAGCGAAACTAAAACGCTGAACACTGCGACTGACTCGGTCAAAGCTCTGCGGACGACTCTAACGGGCACTGCACCCATCATGAAGGCCGTGCGCTTCCACGGACGGGGCGACATCAGGGTAGATGAGATCGAAGAACCGACATGCGGGAAGGGACAGGTCAAGGTATTTTTCCCTCCTTCTAGACGCTTATTCTCTACTGACGGTCACGCCCGTAACATAGATGCGACCTGCCTTCGTCGGAATCTGTGGCAGTGGCAAGCGATCTCCCGTCACCACTCAAGGATCTCTACGTCCGTACTAACCCTCCTAGACTTACACGAATACCTGGGCGGTCCAGTCCTAGTACCCCAGGAACCGCACAAGATCACCGGGGCCACGCACCCCGTAACCCTGGGCCACGAATTCGGCGGGGTCATTGAAGAGGTCGGCGAGGGCGTGACCCACGTCTCGCCGGGCCAGCGAGCCGTCGTACGGCCCACCATCTTCGACGAAGAGTGCACGTCCTGCAAGCTGGGCTACGAACACTGCTGCGAGAACATCGGCTTCATCGGGCTATCAGGTACGCCCGCACCCCTAACACCTTTCTTGGCCTCGAGCAAGAAACAAGGACGAGCAACAATCCAGCTAACCACCCAACCATCCGCATACAGGGTACGGCGGCGGCCTAGCCAAGTACATCGTCGCGCCAGCCGACCACTTCTACCCGCTACCGGACACCATCTCCCTCGAAGCGGCGGCGCTGATCGAGCCCCTGGCGGTGGCCTGGCACGCGGTGAACATCTCCCCCTTCAAGCCCGGCGACAGCGTCCTGGTCCTCGGCGGCGGGCCCGTGGGGATCGGGATCGTGCAGGTCCTGAAGATGCAGGGGGCGCAGAACATCCTGGTCGCCGAGCTGATGGCGAACCGCCAGCGACTGGCGCGGGACTACGGCGCCGCGCACATCATAAACCCGCGCGCGGAAGGGCCCGGCGGTAACACGGCGGCGCGCGTCCGCGAGCTGACGGGGGGCGCCGGCGCGGATGTCATCTTCGATACCGCGGGGGTGGAGGCGGCGCTCGACGAGGCGATCGGCGCCTGTCGCACCCACGGCACGATTGTCAATATCGCGGTCTGGGAGAAGCGGCCCGCCTTGAGGGTGAATGACCTCATGTATAGCGAGTTGAAGTATACGGGGTCGGCGCTGTATGATGAGAGCGCGTTTGTGGGGGTGATCCAGGCGCTGAATCATGGTATGTTTCATGCCCTAACTTTTGGGTGATTGTTGATGGTTTGGTCGACGGGAGGCTCTAACATGGGCGATAGGCCAGTTGGCTCCGGAGAAGATGATCACCGCGAAGATCGGGTTGGATGATGTGGTGGAGAAGGGGTTTGAGGAGCTGGTGAATCATCGAGATGCGCACTGCAAGATTCTGGTCGATGTGCAGGCGTAGAGTTTGAGGGGGTTGCTGTTGACGTGCTAACGACGATACGAGTTTCTTATTGCCACGGTGTATGATATTGTTGAATATGCGCCATTGCCATTGCCATTGCATGATACTGCAGTACCCACAGCATTGAGTAACTGTCGCTGCTACCACTGTACACTACTGTAACAAGAGTATCCCAGTCCAGCAATCGCACCCCTAACACAGCCCAGCGCACAAATCCGTTAACCCACAACCACCGCAACTCCCCCACTTATCCATCCCATAAGTGCCACATCACCCGTACACTCAGTAAAAAATGACACCCCACAATTCGCCACCGACCAGAACCCCGCATACTGTGTGACAGCAACCTGAAGTCATACTTACATTGACCCAGGCATTTGAATAACATGGTCATCCTGCCATACTAGGTGGCAAAAAACATCAACTGGGTCCCATAGCTCAGTTGGTTAGAGCGTAACGCTAATAACGTTAAAGTCGAGGGTTCGAGCCCCTCTGGGACCAGCTTTCTTTTTGTTTCTGTGTGGGCTTCATTCGCTAGGTGAACGCTGGCTTTGATTGCTTGGGGCTTTTTTTTAAGGAAGTGTGGTGGTGGGCTTGAGTATGAAGGTTGATCTAATCTGGGTGCGTTTAAGGGTGGGGTGTTGTAGCTCATACTATTTTCACATCTGTTTTCATGGAGATTGGTTGTTGTTGACTGACTGACTCGCTGGACAAGTGTATTGACAACTAACTTAGGGGACGGGTGCCTTTGAAATGACTTCATGCAATGCGACAAAGTCATCGCCATGCCCCCAGGAAATGGTCGTGACGGTTCGTCGTTGGAACTAGGCATTCCTCGTCCAGTATATCGGGCTGTGCCTTATTCTGTCAGGCTTATCAAGACCCCGATATTGATCACCTATCGACGCGAGCGACCGTGCACCTGGGTACACAGTCCACCACCGGCCTAGCTAATACTCCCTCTAGAGAGGTTGCAGAAGCAGTGTCACCCCCGACTCTTCGGCGTTGATTGTTGTTGAGGATTAATTCTAAGCCCAAGGATGGCTCGCGTCCACCTTGGCAGTCCGAACGCATGCACTGAATTGGGTAAATCCGGAATATTCTCGCTATTTACGGTCTAGCTCAGTATTGCGATTAAGCGAGTTTTGCTCGGGGGTGTGACACTGCTTACGCAAACAAGTCTAATTGAATAGCTGTAGATGCTCCAGAGAGAGAGATAGCGGTCGAAATTGGTGCAGTATGGGCGCCTGGTGCAAGGTAGATCGAAGAGTACACAAATCCTGTACAAAGCCAATAGAATGTTGAAAGGTTCATGGGAGCCAGAGAAATGCTCACTTCTTATATACCCATCCCTAGTTATCTATGTCCGTGTCTTATATGAACCAGCGTAGCAGACTCTGTGGGCCCGGATGTATGGCCAAACGCATTGACAATGCAATTAAATAAAAAAATTCCAATGGCGTTTTCTAGTAACGATCATCCGGCTCTGCAGAAACGTATCCACTACAATTTCTAGACCGAATTAGGCCAGCCCTTTTCATAAAAAGGACAAGAGATTTCATGTTCCACCTTTGTCATAGTATATGCCAGATCTCCTCTGGCATAGATGGCCCTTGCGCAGCTAAGTGCCTATTGGCGCGAGACTAGATCTTCTTGCCGAAGGTATGTCGCTTTGAGTCGCATCGAACAAGAGATGATATAGACGGCCTTCAAATCACCTCGAAAGTGAGCCTTGACAAAGACTAGACATTGGCTGATGAAGAAACCACAATAAGACCTGAAAAAAGATTTATACTGTACCTAGTTGACTCTCAGTTTCGGTACGTTCATGGATTCTTTTTCGGGGAGGAGTCTATCTGCTGAGGTTTGTGGCATCCCGATTCAGCTGTAGTTAACTTTGCATGAACTGATGTCGAAAATCCTGATACATACCTGGGAATACCTTTGGGTTGTTGCACACCGAGGTCTCGTCCGTATTCTGTCCATTGGCGCCTTCCTCTCGTGCTCGCCTGCTAGCACTAGCATCTGTAGGCATGTGTCTTGAAAAGCTGAACTGTCTCATTGACGTGAACAAATCCACGGGAAAAACCACTGTTCTGCGCCGCTTTACGAGCATAAAGACAGATACGACAAAGCACAGAGTCATCTTTAAGCTTGTGAGGCCAATCAAGATACTCGATTGGCACTGATTATACCGGATATATGCCCATTGGTTATTGGTGATATAACGTGAAAGACGATTTTTAGTGAATCCGCAGCTGTAGGACTATTCAATCCAATACGTTGGCCGTGCAGCATAGTCTATCTAACAATAGGCCTCACTCAGTCTCTAGGCATGTCTGCAGATCGTGATTCATCCATCTCTAACTCACCCAGTTCTTCTATCTTCATGATTAGCTCACATCAACTGCAATCGTATTTACGCTGATGCCCACTCGAAATGCATCTCCAACCACTGTTGAAAACCTGAACAAGATTATAAACATTATGAGTGCGCTTATTGAGAATGGAGATACGGAGTATTTGAAGGAAGATGAAAGGGAGTGGCTGTATTGTGGGAGCATATTTTTAGGGTTGGTTGCTTCGCTGGAGTTAAGTATAAGGGAGGAGCTCATGTCTTAGAATTATATGTTAACTAGTTGCTGGTGGGCACTCTAATGCGTAGAATCTAATCAGCTTTCTTTCTGGGCAGGTGGCCGTCTTGTGCGACATTTCCTAAGGGAAGTGAACATTCCTACAGGTCGCTATTCTATGTGGTGGATAGATATACCACTTTATCAACTGGACTGGGACTTTACCCACCTGGATAGGAAGGGAAAGGAATGCCAGTAGGGTTAAATCATTTCCCCGATAATCATAGCTAGCGAAACTCACTCATCTGGAAATGTATGGCAGTAGGAAGGCCATCAAGGCGGGTGTAATCTGTCTTGTGGCCCTAAATCAAACCCCCGTGCGTCCACAATTTCCTTGAAACGGGTCAAGTGACGTGATTCGCAATCAAACGTATACTTTGTGCCTAAACCGCACCACAAACATTCTCGGGTATCAAAGCCTCCGCTGCAGCAGTCAAGGAATTCTGGAGAAGGTCGCTCAAGTCGCTCTGTTTATTTGTATCGCTTAGCTCCTTGGAAACTGGGATTAAGGTAGCGGAACTTACGAGGAGATCTGAAAGAGCTTGCCCTAGGCTATTAGGGTCCGGACCGTCTATGGAAGATTCAGCCGCCATCGAACCAAATATAGCGATTAAAAGTTGCAAAAGAAGGTCTAAAAGAGAGCGGAGCAGATGGACGATCAGATAGAGGGTTGATGATATGCATCGACACTCGACCGGAACTAGGGTTGCCAGAATCTGGTCAACATTTGAATCTTCGTTGATATCACCTTCACTTATTCCTTCACCTTGGCTGGCAAGATCGCCGCAGAGTGCCCCCGGAAGGAATGACTGGGCGATGGCAGTAAGATTTCCATCCGCTAGGGTTCTGAGCCTTTCCTATTCATCGCAGCAATGATTAGCAAAAACCCCCGCAAAGCCAGGGCAGGTAAAAAAAAAATTTATATCATACCAAACCGGCCACGGCGGATCCAGTCACCGGGACTACTCCACCCAGAAGGCTGCCCGCATTGTCCGTCACCGTGTCTAGAATTGAACGGGCAAGATGTGTAGTAAGATAACCTGTCACCCCTGTACATTGACAGGCTAGTTCGACTAACGCACTCTGTACTTCACCCAATTGGGAATCTTCATCAATACCCGCAACACTGGCGGGGAGATTCACATTGGCGTCATCTTGTCTTTTTATTGGCGATTGGTGAGAGACGACCGATATGTGGTCGTGAGTCGCCCTTTCGACTTTTCCCTGTTCACCGGTCGGCTAGATTAGCCCTTTTGTCCTTCGTGATGGAGTGAAAAAAAAAAAAAAAAAAAAAAAGGAACAGCCATGCCAAAAGGATGGTCATTGTTTTCCCATGGCCCGGGAGAGGCTTGACAGCCTCGATCATCGCGCCGAACGTCGTTTCGATTACCCGATGAGCTTGATATTTGGGGTCATCCGAGTCCAGGCTGATGCCTAGCCTGGTGAGTAGGCTGTGCACTCCAGCCAAGGACTTATCTTCCACTGGGAACTTGTCCAGCTGACGGAGTGACGTAGAGCGTCTACTTATCGGGTTGTTTGGTGGTGGCAGGTCGAGTGGGAGGGTTGGTGGATGTGCGTGGACCGCGGTCGCCATAGCGGCGAGTCCAGCCCAAAGCAGGAACACAAACTGCATATTGGTAATGATGACTTTGCAAGTCAAGTGCATTTGATGTCAAGCAGTAGTAGACTGGCAGGTCTCGATCAGGGGGCTATATATATAAGTACACGACACTGACCTCGCCAAGCAACATCGCATCCCCCAGCTAATGAGTTATTGGGGATGGGAAAAGCAAAATCCTATAGTTTGTGCTCGGGACAGGATCAACTTCCACTCCCCTGATCGGCAATTGACTGATCAATATGGATATGTTACAAAGATCATCGCCTTCCTACCTCTAGACTTATTACTTGTGGAACCCCCACTAGCATCTGCATGATGATGCACACACTATTCGGAGATGCCCTGGGAATAGAGTGTTGATCTTCTAGGGGCTGGAAACAGCAGCATATCCCTGCCGGCCCTTAGTTTTTATGCGAATCTGAAAAGTCGCAAACTCCGCGAATGACAGGGTATGGGAAGTCATGATCCTGTTAGCACGCGGCTTTCTGTCTACTAAACAATCTGGGGTGTATGTTGCACATGTTTATCTACCAGCGTGTGGACAATCCGCCCTGCATAGAAGGTCGGGTCCGGCATTCTCCTGTTCAAACTCCAATGATTTATTAAGTTGGAAGAGATGGATCTGAAAACCATGTTTTTCTTAGTGGTGTTCTGCCTCTAGATGAGTGATCGCCTTGAATAATAGTGGTGGAGAATGGCTTTCATAAATTTATTCGCTGAAATCCACCCTTCGTTGTCTTTCTAGAAGGCGTACTGTATGACTGTACCGCGGGGATTATTTGATTGGCTGACCACAACATCTGCAAATCGAATCGATTCGGTCTGTACCTGAGAACGCACGCCGCCCCCCCCCAACATTCCAACTATGGATATGAACTGCATTGTGGGAAAGGTAGCTTTTCTTTGGGTAGTGACAACCGCAGCTGAGTTCGTGCCTATTCCTCGATGCGGTAGGCAGGCAATGACCATGTTATGCAGATCATTACGGCCAAGCGTGTATATGTTGCTGTCATTGGGGTTTCAAAACAACATCTCGTGCTGTACGTCAAGCTCTTAGCTGAGGGGTTCTGTTCTTTTGCTTTCTGTGGGGCTTGCTTTTTCGTCCATCCTTATTCAGAGGGGGCCCATTGAATGCTCGACATGGATGGTAGAACATTGTATTTATCCCCAGGAGGGGGGCCTTTGATAAGGATACAGAAAGGAGATGAATCAACCAGACAATAATTCCATTTACAAAAAAAATAAAAAAAAAAAAAAATAGAAAAGAGAAAGATCTCAGGGCCTTTGCCCCGTGCTAATATATATGTATATATTAGATTTTAAAAATATAATGATATGATGACCTCTAAGAATCCTAGAATTATAACAATCTCTAAAATAATTTCTGATATGAAAGACTCTTACTGCGATATCATATGTAATGCCGGTAGCAATAGAAATTCTACCGGTGTGAATAGCAGTTATCTCCCGTCTCTATCCATGCGATTAAGTCGACGACACACAGCTTGGTATCCTTGACTATATATGTCTTGTAAAACAGAAGGCATGGAGGCAAAAAGATGGTCCCAGAGGGGCTCGAACCCTCGACTTTAACGTTATTAGCGTTACGCTCTAACCAACTGAGCTATGGGACCAGTTGCTGTTGGTGCTCGCTCGAAGTTGTGCTCTAGGTGGATAGGTTTAAGATTAAAGGGATCTGTGTATACCGGGGATGGGGTTTGATAATCAAGTAATTTTATTAAGCAATTCTAACTCACCCTTTTGTGAGTTCGTGGGAATATATATCTAGCAAATTGGATTGGGAGTCATGGGGTTGAGATACAGTGTCCGTATATATACCATGCTCAGGTGGCTCTGAAGTAGATAGGATATGTCTCCGGGTTGGGCCTGGGTGTGTAGCAGTACATAGTTTGTTTAGTAGCGGGTGAGGTCTTAGGTATCAACTGGTGCCTGTGGCTGAGTTCTATACTAAGGGCATCAGTCCCATAACAAAAGTAATCCTTTTTTTCAAAAAATGTATATATATATATATATATATATATACAAATATGATCCTAAAAATATGATCTTGATTAAAATTTATATTTCTAATAAATATTGAAATAAGTGATATAAATTGAATTAATCAAAACGAAACAAGAATCCGACATCCTGGAACATTAGATCCAAGACCAGTGGGGATACCGTAAAAAATAAAAAAGCTTGCTGTATCGCCTCATCCCCTCTCCAGCCCCAAGCGGCAAAGGAATTGTCGGCGGTGGGTGGCGTCGATCAACCTCGTTCAGCCGTGGGAACTAGGAGTAAACAGACTACAGTTCCAGCTATGGAACCAAGGAGTACCTAATGGACAACAAGGTGGACAGTCCCTCAATACGCATTCACGCGTGGGGTGTAGACCCCGCCCTGCACCACAGCTGGCTTCGTGTACCCGCTCTGCACCACCGCATCAGCCTGTAGCTCCAGCCCCGCCAGCTGGAAGGGGCGTGTATCCATGGACCATATGGTAAGCGCCAGGTAGTTGGGTCCATTATGATTGATGATTCCCTCTGGTATGGGAAAGCGGGTTTGCGGTCCAATGTGGTTCACTGGGTTCTACTTAGTATGCCTTCTGTAGGGGTGGGAGGGGTCATGAATACAAGGACTGGAAGGATCTGATCTTACCGTATTTACCAAATTGCCAGCCATTGATGTAGAGTACACTTCGGAACGACGCTGTGGAGGTATCCTCAGTGGCATTGCTACTGCTACTGCTGCTGGTCTTGGTGAAGACGACACTGAGAGGAATGTCGTATTCGGCGGGGAGCCTCAGGTTGAAGGAGGTGGCCCAGAAGCGCAGTCCAGGGCTTGAGATGGCAGTTTCCGTTGGAGCTCTGACAGGGGATAGGATGAGACGACTGTCACGACGAGTGGTATTGGTGTTTGCCGACGATGTTAGGGCTCCAGGGAGATGGTAGCCCTGGCGCTCGGCAAAGTAAGCGCCCTCATTCAGGGGTCCACGGCTGTGATCGACGTATTGTTCGCCCCCCAAATTGCCGGTGATCTTCCAGGTGATCGCTGTCTTGGCTCGGCTCTCGAGATTATAGTCCAGCAGGCCACGTGGATCCTTCATGGTGGCAACGTTGGCTGGGTAGTTCTCGTCGTGGCCCATGTGGTCGATCAGCACCGTGACCACATACGGCTTCCCCGACTGTAGCCCTTCCAGGGGGATGGTCTGGTTGTGAAACATTTCTGCAGAGCTGCCTGCCCATGAGGTCAAATGCGTGCTGTTCAGCCACACAGAGTGCCCGTAGGCGTATCCTCCTTCAGTCAATAGGTACAGCGATGTCTCCGATCCCGTCGCTACGAAGCTGCCGCGGTACAGCAGAGACCCTGAGTGGTACCCATAATCGCTCGCATACAGGGAGAAAGGCGTAGTCAGGTTGCGTGGGTTGGTGCTGGAGGTATGATTACAGCGCGTCCACTGCCTGTCATCATAGCTCGTCTGGATCTCCGGCAGCGAATCAACCGCATACCACCGCTGGGCAGACAGGTCAGGCAGCATCAAGGTAGGACGTTGGTACTGAAGCGTGCTGATCAAGCGTCCGTTCGACCGGGTGGTCTTGATGGGCTTTCCGTTGAAGCTAACGGCTGTGGCAGCAGGCGGTGCCGCGATAACCTCAAGTTCAGTGGTCGCATTGAGGTCACCAGTCAGTTTGAGAGTGCTGCCCACCACCTCAGCACTACGGAGGAGGTAACCCATCTTCACAATAACCGAGCTGTTGCTGCGCGAGGGTGAAGCATATCGCTGTATAGCCCCCGCGATGGGCAGATCCACGACCCAGTAGTTATAGGCCTCGTTGCGCCAGAGAAGATGGACCTCGAGTCGGTCTCCGAAGTGGACCACTCGACGAGATGGCTGCACCGACCACTGAGCCACAGTGGCGCATGAGGAGACCGTCGTGTCCACGCGAATTCCCTCATTGCCCTCGACAGCAGATGGACTGCCCAGTGCGCGAGGGACTGCGAATTCATGCGTCTCCTCCTGACCTCCATACAAAATGAGGACCGACTTGTTTCCAGATTTCTTCCAGGAAAAGACTTCAGCAGTCGAATATATCAGGTTGATTCCGCCTACATTGTAGTCTGCCACGTGTATCTTAGAGTCCCGTCCACGCAGACTCAGCGCTCCTCCTAGCTGCGGGACGCTGACGTTGCCAATCGAGGTCGAAATGCGCAGCTGATACGCCACATTGTCATCTGCGGTGAGTACTCCGTGTCGAATGATGTAGAAACTTGTGCTGTTGGTGCGCAACCGCGTAGTCGCCAGGTTTGACACATTGGTGTAGACCCCGAAGCTGCCACTGTCCGGCTGCGCGACAAGGTAGGCAGGGGAGGCTTGGAGAAAGCCCGCCTGCAGCTTCAACTCGCTATACTTCTCTCTCGTAACCTCTCGGTTCTCTTTGATGGCTGCCCCAACGTCATATGAGGTGTACCCTCCGGGATGGCCCAGATTGCCCCAGTTGGTGCCGCCAAAGATCTAACCATGGTCAGCAGGCGCCAAAGTTTGTGTAGATACTGGAGACGAAGCAGATATACCATGTAGAGACTCTGAATGGCGATGCGGTAGCCGTAATTGAGCTTGTAGAAAACCCGCTCGAACTCGGGTCCGATATAAGCAGCAGACGCATCGACGCCCACTCCTCCCCTGAGAACAAGCGTAAGCCTCACGGCACCTCTTATATATCTACGTTTAGGGTACGTGTCCTTCTTACCAGGCATCGGGCACTCCACCTTGAAATTCCGAGATGGAAAATGGTGTGGTGGGACTCTGCGCTAAATGGATGGTGGTATTGTACATGAGCAGTGGACTGAGCAAAGAAGACCAGTCGGACGAGTCGGAAGCTGCCATTGCCATCAGTAAAAGGGATCTCGTATAGGGTCTTTGAGAGGAAACAGACGTGCAGTAGCCCATCCAAGTGGATAGGAATCAAAGCTGTAGAGATCGACAGCCCCAACGCCCGTGCCCGGAGCGAAGTTGCCTACGGGATACGCATCATTGAAGATGAAAGGGACGAGCAGACCAGCCTGGCGATACTGGGTCTCGACATAGGCCATATACTCTTTCTCGAGACACGAAGTATCGATACTAGTAATGCTGAGGTTGTTCATCTGCGTGTACCCCGTTTCCGTCGCGCAGAGGGTGTACTCATTCTCCGGCTGCACCAGAATAACCGGACCACCGTTGGTGATCTGCGCCGGGGCGATAAGCTTGCCCATAGCTCGGATATAAGGCGTGATGGCATCGAGAAACGCTGCGTCGGTGTGCCGGAACTCGCCGTTCAACCGTTGCAACCAGCCAGGAAAGCCACCCCCGGACACTTCGGCATTGATGTAAGGACCTGGACGAGCAATCAAGTAGATGCCCGCTTCCTGTGCAGCTTCGAAGAACTGATCCAGCGCAAAAACTCCAGTGGTCCGAATGTGGCCTGGCTCGCCTTCCAAGAGCGCCCAGTCCAGATAGAAGGAGACGGCGGAGTAGCCCAAGGCTCGAATCTTCTGGAAGACATCCAGCCACAGGCCCGGCGAGGGGAGTCGAAATGGATGGAATTCCCCGGAGAGGAGGAGTACGCGTTCTCCGTTCACGAAAAGGGACCTGTCGTCCCAGGTAACGATATTTTGCCTAGCAACAGTGGTGTTAACTGATGTGGACACTGCTGCCGTGGCAAAGGGAAGGTTCAGACCTAACCCCGTCAGGAGCAGGCTGGCGAAAGTATAACTGAAGCGCATTGAGATGTCTCCTATTCTCTCTTGGATCGCAAGGAGGGTGATGGACGGATTGAGGGGTCCGGTGTTCAAGTATTCCCTAGAAATGTACTTGAGATACATATACCTCGGCTTGTTGGGTGGCATGCGTCATAGCTCGCGTTTTCGTACCTCTACCCTAATTAGTTGAGTCGGGACGTCAATCATTATTAACTAGTCAACTAGGTGCTTAGAACTAGCGAATGAAATTCTGCATGCCACGCCAATTGAAAGCAGCTATCTACACAGTGAGCACACTGTATGGCACCAATGCCGCTTCCCCAAGTAGCCCATTGTCCACCAAGCCTGGTACCCCACCCAGAACTTCCAGCAGAAAATCCGCCGGCACTTCCATGAAGGTCAATTCGTCAATAATGCTGCGAAGATAGTTCCACATCAAGGCAGGTACTTCCACCAGTAGCGTGTTGGCCTTTCCTAGGCGGAGGAATTCAGTGATGTCCACCATTGGAGCTGCTGGATTGACCGGCGGCACTCGCTGCCCGTTGACTATCACCCGCGCTGCATGATCGATGGGTGGGAGGCGGAGGTATACACCGTCTGCTACCAAGGAATTGCCAGACGACAGGGGCCAGGTGAAGTTGGTCGCGTAATAGCCTACCCCAGACACATTTTGGAGGGCTGGAATTTTCGCCCACGAGATCAGTTCCTGCAGGTGATGCGTCGTATTTCGTTTAACGGCGATGGTCGCGGCGTTTTCGCCAGTGATGTTTCCAGGAGCTTCCCAGTGCTCGGCGGTTAGCGTCCAGTTCGATAGTGCAATACTAGGAGCCACAGCCACGGCGGTGCGGTTGATGATTCGTCCATTAGACAGCCGAGCTGGTGCATCCCACTCTCCAGCGATGACATGGAGTTGGAGGGCAGAGCTATTAGCCGTATGCCTTTTCGAGCCAATGACCACCGAGGGCAATTGGGTTGCGTGCAGCGGCTGGCTAGGGGCATCCTTGGCCGACGGTGGCTGAAAAGAGAGCAGAAGCATTTCATGAGCCTGGAGACGAAGTGGGATACGAGTACGATTGTCCAACACCTCGTACTGCAGCAATGGCGCCTGCGATCCGCTCCATGCATCGAGTAGATACGGTGTCTGGGTGGTGGAAACCTCGATCACTCCCGTCGTGAAATTGCCGTTATCATTGAAGACCAGGCAGTAGTTGGTGCCCGTCTCGTCGTCTCGTCGCCAGACCGGATACCAGGTTCCATTCGCGCGCACCTGGACATCGGGAAGTACCTGCAACGCCAGGAGCTGCTTGGCCACACCACCTGCCGGTACGGAATACACGTTAGGGCTCTTTTTCAGAGCCACCAAAGCTGCTTGCATGGTTGCTACAGGCACCCCCGCCGCCGTGGGATAGAAGTGCGGGTCGCCTCCGCTGAGAATGACAGGCAAGCCTCGTTGTGCATAGTTTTGAATAGCCTCCAAAGCACTATAGGTCAGATTCGCCGTGCTGGGGACCACGACTGCCTTGTAAGCTGGGCCCGCAGGCGCTAGTCGGCCTTTTTGAACGGTGGCTTGGGGTAGTGCCAAATTATGCGGGGAAAGGTAATTGTAGGTGTAGCCTGTGGTAGAAAATTAAATTGTCGGTGGACTTTCTCGTTTATTCTTTTGTGTGGGAAGAACTTACCTTGCTCTTCCAGATCGCTGGATGTATAAATGGTTGGAAAATTGGGGTTCGTAGCAGAGATCTTGTTGTAAATGGCGACGTCGGTCAGAAGCTGCGCCCGCTGCTGAGTGTACTGGACCCGCGCTACATAGTCCAACGTGTCGGCAAAGCCATGATACCAGACGGGGTCCTTCTCTGAAAACTGGTTGGCGAAGAGGTATGCAAACGCCGTGTAGCCAGGCCAAGTCGTGCCATAATAACTGCCGGTATAATCCTGCCCGTGGATGACGAACCGGTTGACACCTGCGGCCAATGCACGGTGAATCTGCCACTGTAGGTGCGACAGAGGCGATCGGTAGGCTTCGAGAATCACTGCGCCCATTTCATTGGAAACAATTTGCTTTCCGGCCAGGACAGCTGGACCGACAAATTGACGGTAGCCATCCACGCTGTCGCCGAACTCGAGGCTCTCACATTCCGGTGCGTTGACTTCGGGGATACTAGCCTCCATGTCAAGCGGAAGATTGTACGAGACCTGCGCCGACATTTGTAAACCAAGAGACTCGGCCCATGCGGTGAGTGTGCCGAGGTATTGACGATACCCTGCTCCAAGCGTCTCGCGGTAGTCGTTCAGATAGCCCGCCCCTTGATCGGGGGTGTCAAGTACACATTGATAAGCTCCAGGCGAGCTTTCCTGGATAATCAGGTTGTTGTTCTCAAACATGACGAGGGGAAGGAAGGGTCGTAGGTCGTAGCCATGTTGTTTGAGGAAGCGGCTTGGGAGAGATGGGGTCCACGAGATATTGCATGTTGCTTCGATGCTGTCCTCCCATGCTGGTCGATCCTCGTTTGTCAGAATTTCTGCCCCTGCTTGGCTGCTGCAAATTTGAGGGCAACGTACCATAATTTCCCGCCTCGCTCAACAGTTGTTTGACCTCCGGCGTCAAGATATAATTCTCCCAGAACTGAGTGGTTGTCTGTGCGCCTCGACCACTGTAATGATCAACGATGTACGAGCCGTTGTCAAAAATGGAGGACCCATTGCGCTCGGAGAAGATTAAATTCCTGTTCAGCGTGTGTGTCTGATAGAACGCGAAGAGTCGATAAGTAGAGTTATATGGAAACTGTAGCCGCACATGGCCATTCGATGATACAGTATCTGCGTGGTCGACAAGACTATCGTTACGCAGCATCAGTTTCCAGTAGGAGCTCTGACCTCCTGTCAGACTATTCAAGCCGGCTGAGGCGTCCAGAGAGATATTCTCCGCGGACAAGACATTAGCAGAGACCAAGGCTACCAATTCCCCAGTCCCCCACCCGGGAACCTGGCCATTGAAGGAGCCATTGCTGGGAATCTGCGTCGAGAAAGGAGCCTGTCCGGCCATTAGTAACCTCGTTTGTCAAGCGAACCGTGTGTCACATAGGGGTCCTAAGTGGATGACATACCAGGTCCCACTGGAGGCCCTCATCATCTGCGTGGGCAGGAACGCCTTGACCCTGACTGGGTCCAAGGGCAAAGTCCATAGCCAGGCCATGATCTTTGTGTGCCTGTAGCACAGCCACAAATATCTCGTTGAAAGCCTCGGTGCCGAAGCCGTACTTGACCCAGTCGGGTCCAGGGCCACCGTACGCCAGCTCTCCTCCGTAATCGTAGAAGGGGACAAATTCCACCCCTCCAGCACCAATAGAGGCTGCTGAGATGACATTTTCTTGGACAACAGTCTTGTTCACCCCCGCGTCAGGCAACCAGTATCGGAACCGAGGCCGTATGAGAGCACCTGGATTCTGAAAGGTGCCTTGGTCATTTTGGGTATTATTCGTCACGGTATTGGCATTGACCCCAACCCCAGCAAGGACAGCATACCAGATTTTATACCGCATCTTTGATGAGCCCCATACACGAGTCTTTCTTGACAAAGTAAAATTAAGAATGGATGGAGGTAGGGCTCTGGATCAACAGTGAGAGACTTTTGTACCCATTGTCGAAGGCGACGTCATTCCTGGGTTAAAGGCCATGCACAGTTGGGGCACATTTTGGGGTTGTCCAACGGCCTCGTACTCGTTCCCAATACTAATTCCATCGATCGGAGCACAGCGTGGGGTAACCAGCCACCAAAGTGACTAGGCCTCACCAAAGCCCGCGGGTTCACGGGTTGGGTGTAGACCCAACACGTTGGCAAACTAGACAAATACTAAGAATTAGTAGATTTAATGAATTTTATAGTTTCAGCTGTATTTTAAAATATTATATCTATATGTAAAGTAATCTAGTACAGAGTATATCTACTTCTACTATACGAAAATGTGATTTTTTTCGGATTTTGACTTCTTTTTGTTTATAACTTAATGTCAAGGGTTAAAAGGGTCAGTTGTACTGTACTCTCTCTATGCTCCGGGCCACTCAGTAAGCACAAAGCGGCGCCAAGTTGGACCTAAAGAAGAAAGGGAAACTCGCTCGATTTCCGCAGTAATAGTTTGTTAGTACTATTATTGGAATGTTCTGCTGCAAATCCCATCATCTGCTTGTCTTAGCCTGACAATGGGCATTTCGCTACTTACCGTCGCTGCGAACGTGATAATGCTTGCTTGGCCTGAATTGCCCCAAGCGCTGCTACTGATGACTATTATAGCCCATCTTATGGGCAGGATATACAGAGCCTCTATTTACCAACTGAGCGGTCGAAACCTCAGTGTTTTTGGATATCTCAGCCTATAGAATCTGTATTGCTTAGGTGTATTGTATCAATTCATCTGTTAGAACAATCGGCAGAGCTTCTATGCTACTTATTCCAACCACCTTCGAAGCAACAATCTCGTCAACACTCAATCGCTGTCTTCTATCATTGCACAAGGTGGGGGGGAGGCACATGCACCAGCACGTCTAAATCTCAAATGTATACCCTATACTTACTTCCACCTAACCTTTGATTTTGGGGATTTAAACTCTTTTCACGGCCTCCGGGTCTGATGCTGTTGGGGCATCGAAGAGCAAGCCATTCTGGCGAAGCATCTCATATTGTCTTGGGGGGGGATAAACCCCCAAGAATCTAGAGTGCTTTCTGTACTTTGAAATCGAACTTCACAGACCCCGTTGTTACACCAGCAGTGTTGACGAGCTTTGGATGATGAAAACTCGCCAGCCGGTGCCAGATCTCCGGCGTCCCGATGCCGAGTTGCTGCAGTATCTCCATGACCGCCGCGTAAAGCATGCCAATGTTGCCATCTTCGATTTTGACCGCGATGCCAATCGCTCCATCCCGTCCAGGCATCTGGGCGCCGCATTCGGAGGCTCGGACGGCAACCCCGTAGCAGCCGTCCGCCCCCAGCTTACCGACCACCGCGCCCCCGTAGGCATGCATGAGGGTGGTGCAGAAGCGCCCCTGTCCAGCGACCAGCTCCGGGTGCTGCACCATTGCGGTGAAGACTTGCGACAGGTGTCGCGTCCTGGCGGTGGTTGAAACCGAGTCCAGACTCCTCTGGACTTCATCGGCCGATTCGGCGAGGCGACCAAACACCGTCGCGAGATTCTGCAGCGGAAGAGCGGGTGCTGGGAGATTACACCCGTCAATACACCAGACGATATCCCCGGGGTCGAGGCCGGACAGGTCGGCGATCGCGTGGCGGACCTGGCCTTGCAACGGATGCTCCAGGCGATGGTAGTCCTCGATCCGGGTCCCCAGCGCCCGTGCCCCGGCGATCATGCCCGCATGCTTGCCGGAGCAGTTGTTGTGGATGGCGGTAGGGGTGATCCCTGCCCGGGCCCAGTTCGCATTCACCGTCTCGGACAGGGAGGCATGGCCTCCACAGCGCAGGTCCGCCTCGCCGGCCCGCGCTTTGGCGAGCATGTTCGCGGCCCGGCCCACGTGTTCGTCCTCGCTGCTGTGCGACGCGCACATCAACGCGATGTCGCCAGTGTCCAGGTTGAAGATCTCATGCGCCCCGGTTTCCAGCACCGCGAGCGCTTGGACCGGCTTTGCGGTCGATCTTGCCAGAGTGATCCGCATGGGATTGCCGACCGAATAGAGTAATTTGCCCGTACGGTCCACGACGGCGGCATGGACGTGATGCCGATTCTCCACGACCCCTCCCCGTTCGGAAAAGATACAATCGCTCGAACACCATGTCATGGTTTCCCGATTCCTCGCTTGGTGATATCGTTGCCTCTACTTCTGCTGGAGAGGTGAGTTGAACGCTTCTCGCACTCGATCGGTCAATATGGCGTAGACTCACTTGACTTTTGTCTTTGGACCGGAATAGGATATTCGGATTTCTCTCTCTCTCACACACACACACACATGGGACTGCCGGTTTCCGTCGCAGATGGAGGTTAACGGTCAGAGTGTAAATCAAAAGGATGCATGCTGTTGTTCTAGGGTTGTCGGTTCCTGGCCCAGATGATAGCTTCTCCGAGCTCGGTCCGAGTGTCTCATACCCATTCGGGAATCCAAATCCGCCTGCCCGTGGGTCACTCGGCTCAGCTTTTCCTTTTTTTCTTTTTTCTTTGTCAAGATGGGAATCATGGATCGCACCGGATTTCCAAAACCGGTGAACTCTTGCGTCCCTGGCAGATTCTTCCGGTCGTTGAGGAATTGGGGTCCAGGGCTACCTGGTTATTACTCAAGTTAACCATCGATGGAGCCAGATGAACTAATATATCTGACCTTTTTCACTTCTCATTTGATCGGACTGGTTAACGTAGGGAATCGAGGGTTCAGTGAGGCCTTTTTGAGATTGGCTAGAGATATTAGGAACCAACTGATGCAGGAAAGACTATTCTGAGCTCGGCAACTATAGGCGTTTGGGGGGGTGGTTTATCAATGGCCTACAATCGTGCAGGGCGGAACTTACAGGCAGCACGGCTATCTATAAGTTGGGCCTAAGGCAGAAAGGAAAAGTAGTACAATATATACGATACCTTTATTTCCGCGGGAATGCTGCCCGGCAGTGCTGCTGCTGCTGATAGTATTGACACAGTATAGGTTTTGTCCGGTCGCTTGGAGGGCCTTTTGTTGGTGTATAACTTAGTAACTTAAATATAGTTGCGGTTTTTAAGACTTATTTTTATATAATAAATTATTTACTAGAAAATTATTATTATATAATATATATTTATTTATAAATTATTAATTTAAATATTATATATATAATACTATATTCTGATATTTGGTATTCTAGTATTTATAGTATAAAATAGATTATATTATTCTTCAAGCCTTGGAAATCTTAGACTGTGTGGATCCCAAGTTAGAGTGCTCCGAAGCAATTCACTCTTCAAACGCACCCATACGGTAGCCTCATCAGGAAACCTCGTCCTTCAAATCATAGTCCACCTCTCCGATTAAGTCCCTGACATGAACCACCATCCTCGCTAACGCCGAGTTCGTCATGTCGCCGACCATCTGCATCGTAGCCCACGCACGGAACGCATCTTCTTCTTTCTCATCGACTTCTGCAGGGTCGCTGGATTTAAAGTCAACGCTCAACCTCTGCCATAATGAGGAGAAATCGACTCGAGGCGGAGCTTGGAAGCCCGGGGGCAGGGGCGTGCCATTCCTCACAGAAGCAGACAGTAGTGTCAAAATGGAGGTCATCGCATGGGAATTAGCGGAGACAGATGCGAGGAGTGCAGGGGACTCGAGAGATCCTGTGGACGAGCCGGGGGGCAATTGCCAAGATCGTGACGAATGAATGAGGAGATTGGTGTAGTTCATGATGCTTGTCAGCCCCAAAGAGTCAGCTCAGTTGTAGGGAAAGGTATGGCTACTTCGCAAAGTTGAAGAGGACCTGGACCTACCTCGTCGCCTCCTTCATGATGGCCATGTATGTGTCAATGGGGAACCTTCCCCCGATCGGCAAATCGAACTTTTGGAAGAGTGCATGCATCCTCAACGGCGGGATCAATGTCATGATCTGGTTGAAGAGCCGGTACTGAGCCTTTTCAAGTCTCCTTCCAGGGCTAGTCTCTATGAGCATATCGCCTTCCAGGCCCCTCATCTTGAGGCTCGCAATCGCATGCCCGCAATCCTGGAATTTGGCGAGCAAGAACATGAAGTCGCCGAGTTTCTCCGCCAGCAGCCCACGATCTGTAATTGGGTATGGAAAGCAAGTCCAGAAGTACGAAATCCCACAACCCGCAAGTACGGTGAGAAGCCGGTATGGAGCGCTGAGGTAAACTGGATAATCCTCCTGCCCAGAAGCCACCACTGCAGCATGGCCAAGTTTCTGCGACTGCAGGGAGGTTCCAATAACTGCGACAACGGGGACAAGGATACAAAGCCAAACGGCGAAGAATTTGGGAACCTTGATAAACCCATAGGAGAGGGCGAAGAATGCGAGCCAGGTGAAGACCAGGACCCCTCTATTACCATTGTATTAGTCTTGAGGAGATAGAGGGAACAGAATTGCGGTAGACTTACGCAGGCTTGCCGTCGACTATATACCAACAGATATACGATATGACCATCGCTACTGTTGCACCCATCGCCTGAGCGGCCAGCTTGAAAGTGCTTTCTCCAGACGACACATTCATGGCGACCAGGATCACAATCAATGGCCAGATCAATCTCTGCTGGTAGTAAAACGTCCAAGTCTTCTCCAAGAATGCCATTATTCCCACTGAGAATGCTGCGAGGGCCATTCTCAGGCCAAAAGTGGCTTCCTTCGACCTGAGGAGCTTGGGCACAGCACGAAGATGATTTGTATAACGCTCCCAGGCGTTGATAGGTGGCAAATGTCGAGGATCCTTACCTCTGTGACGGATGTTTGTCTTTTCCCCAGACACAGTCTCCTCGATGCCTGCATCTTCGGAGGTCTCGAGGGTGAGATCCCAATGCGCGCTCGCAGAATGTCCTAGCTTTGTGGAGAAATGGCGAGGACGAGGAAATACCAGTCGCTTTCCGGCCATCGTGCCGTCTGTCCTCTTCGAGTCTGCAAAAGTGACTAGTGCGTGGACAGCCTTGGCTATACTGGAGATTAGATGTTCCACGTGGAGGACTACGGAGAGATGCTCCCCACCCGCTGTAGCGATCTGGGTCGCCGATGTCGCTTTGTTTTGAGCAGCGTATTCGATCGCCCAAGTTCTGAGGTGCTCACTTCGTTGACCTTGGAATGATTGGATCTTTCGGCCCAAGTAGTCTGCAAATGTCGGGGAACCAGGCTTCTGAGATTCAACGTCAGTTTGAGTAACTTGGTTTGGCAGGTATTCGAGGACGATTGCAGCGTGCTGCAGTCCTTCATCGATGACCTGCGTTATCTCCGTGAGCGGCCCATGCAGTACAGTCATGACTTTGCTCCAGTAATGCTGCAGCGCCCTTTGCTGACTGACTGTTCCCTGGATGTTCCCATCGCTTGCTTGGCCGGCAGGAAGCTCAGAATCTTGTGCATCAAATACTCCAATGATGGTTTTGATGCCTGCCATCGGGGTGAGGATTGCTCGGAAGGCTCTAAACAACTGCTGTAGGTCATCCGCATCCAACTTGCCATAAGCCACCTCTCGCTTGGCACTAATCGTGTCAGTGTATAGCTCCATGTGTAGAGCAATTAGTCGATCAAGGGTTCCCAATAAAGCCTCTCGCTCGGGGAAAGGTTGCGTTGGCCCGGGGTCTTCCTCGCCAGACGTCTGGAAATTTGCGTATGACTCTGACTTCCCCAAAGCTCGATAGTAATCCTCTTGCTTCGAAAGGAATTCCCTTAGCGCCGAAAAGTAGGTGGTTTGCTTCCGGAACAAGATCATTCTCGTTGTCATTGGGAAAATGAATAACGACACAGCCGTCGCTATTCCGAACGCGATAAAGAAGATCTGCAGTAGTTCGACAATCAAAGAGATGACTTGATCCATGGTGTGAAAGCGGGGAGCATATGTCATGGTGATCATGGTGAGGACGCTATACATGTAAACACAGTTCTGTAGCATGGGAACTTTGGCACGGACGGTACCAGCCGCCCACATCGAGCAAAAAAACCATATTGCACAGACAGCAGCTTGAGAAGAATTATACGAGGCAGTCAAGCCAGGTGGGGTTGTGTGTTGGCGGGCTTTGATCCCAGACCACATTGCAAGGAGGGAGATGGATATTCCGATGCATGTGGCGAGAATGTTCAACACGAGACCTTCGAGATATTTGGCACGCGGAAGCAATGCCATGCTGAAGAACGCGATCATCGCCATGATATAGCCAACAGTAATAAAGCGCTTGGCGATGCTGTCGGATTGGTAGATGGCGAGTGATATCGTCATGGGGAGTGAGCCTCTGCAAGCCACGAGATCAACATCGATCCAAGAAAAATTAGAAAGGAGGGAGATTACTTGAACATCATGATCACTAGCGGAATATGCGGTGCCATTCTCCTCAATAGACTAGGTTTTGCTGCCTGTTCAGGCTGTGAGCCTTCGCTATGCTCATGTTCCCTTGCAGCTTCATCGGCATTTTCCGGGGTTTTCGGTTCGTTCATGGCGTTGAGGCTGAATACTCTTAAGGCAATGCCCTAAGGATGGAAATGTCTCTTCGCGCAATGGGTTGCTTTCTATGGGAGAAGCATGAAGAAGAGAAACAAAAAGTCAGAAACGCGAGAGTGTGATGATAAGACAAGTATAAACATCGTAATTGCCACGGACTTCTTCGCCTCGGCATCAGCGGGTTTTGGAAGAGTGCCGGATTAGGGGGTTTTGGCAAATTACCACCACTCCGTACAGGCTAGAATAGCTTTGACCGGGTGGTGACGAATAATCTTACTCTGGCAATTGAAGCACAGTGGAAGCGCATGAACACGCACCACACTCATCTATCGATTGAATTAAACCACATCCATTGCAGATGGGCTGCCAACCCCCGATGCAGACTGGCTAAGCATCCATTTTCTATAGAATTGGAGGGGAAAGGACAGGCAGAGTAGGCTGTGACTAAGACTGACTACTTAGTCGACTAGGTACTCTGTACTTACTTGAAACAAATCTCTAAAAGTACACTTTTTGGGTGGGGCAAGGTCTCGGGTTTTGGGAAAGGGAGAGTCCGTGACTCCGTACTTGCTGTGATGCTTTTGACCGAACCCAATATATCAGTTTGTATATATAATAAATTACAAGTCTTACTATTCTAATATAGTCTAGCAATACTGATACCTAGCTTGATACAACCTACCTACCTATGGACGCAAGTGAGACTTTCATAGTAAATGTCCGGACGGCTTTGGGAAGAACTTCTCCATACCCGGACACATTCTTGCATTTCACCTTACAGAGCCCTGTCAAACCTCTAGTTCACATTAGCTACACTCATTCACTCAGATCGACGCAACCCTGGTACTCCGACAGACAGACCTGTTGGGCCCAAATTTTCTAAATCCGAATTTGTCGTTCTCCAACTTCGTCACCCCACAGAGTTACTGAGTAGTACCCGTGATCCAGATCGTATAAGATATCTGCAGGATTCTGCAGTATCCAGACTGTATGTCTTTCTGGAGACACACCACGGGTTTGAAGTGGCAATCCTCCTTCGCATCTCTCCCGCAGAATCATGGCTAGTACGTCGCCCATAAGTTGGCCGCTGGTCCACGCAATCGGAATCGTTTCCTCCTCATTCGCTGCAGGTAAGATCCGCAACCACAACGGCAGCCTCTTAGCTACTGCATCCTGGATTCTATGACCGACCTGGAAGACTCACTAGCACCCTCTTCATCCCCTCTAGGCGCGATCTTCACCTCTTCATTTGCCGGTGTCAGTACGGCTCAAATCGCAGCTGCTACCGACTCGCCAGCCTTGGCTGCCCAGCAGTGGGTTCATGTCCACCAGAGATGCCACAAACTATGCACCCCACTGGTTCTGTTCTCGGCTGCCTGTTTCGGCTCGTTGAAGTTTGCCACCCATAGCACTTCTTTCCTGGCTGCAGCTACGGCGTGTATGGGTATAGTGCCCTTCACTGTTGCTTTTCTCAAGAGCTCGGAGAGAATCCTCAGGGCGGTTGCGAGTTCAGAGCATCAGCCTAGCTCGGATCACACAGCCGAACAAGTTCGAGGCGCACTCGCTCGCTGGGGAGCCCTGAACATGATAAGGACCCTGTTCCCTTTGGTGGGAGGACTTCTTGCTCTGAGCATGTGCTATTGAGGTCCGATTTCCCCAACCCAAGGGAAACAAACGTCTGGCATCCAGAAAATCAAAAAGATCGGCAAGCGTTGAATAGCAAATTGCAGTCTCGCATGCATCACAAGTGGAAGCTCGCATGATGCTTCAAAATCTACTTGCAAGCAGCAAGTACTAGGAAGACTCCATGTTCACCAATTTACCAATTTGCCATGTAATTGTGAGGCTAGGTTTCACTATCTGCCATAGCACTGTCGGCACATCCTATAGCATGCAACTCCAAGTTACGTTAGACTGCGAGTATGACCGTTGCCAACAGGAAGTGCATCGAAAACCGCTTTTCCGTCGTCGGTCAAAAGGAGGGCAGTAGTAAAGTGACTGCGTGTAATCGTCTCGGGTTTTGGAAAAGTCCTTTCGTCATGGCCAATCTAGAACTCGCCCCGCAGACCCACTTCAGCTGTTCTGGGAATAGCGCATGGTGGCTCTCGTTCTCGATTGATACCTATAACTTAGCCCAAGGCGCCCTGTAAAGACGTTCAACAATAATTTAGCCTGCTCTTCTGTATTTCTGCTATATCCAAGCCAGTTCACAGTCACCATCATGGCAGCGTCTCCTTTCGGCTACCGTCTAGCCCATGCAATCGGCCTCAGTGGGGCAGCTTGGCTTTCAGGTGGCGTACCCGTCCCGCGTTTCCAACTCTGTTTCTTTTTCTCTCCAGGGTTATTCCCCCTGGGATTTCCAGGCTGAACCGATATGTACTCTACTATGAGATAAAAGTGCTTGGCTGACTTGGCTTTCCCCCCCCCCGCCATCGACGCTGCACAGGCAACATCGCTGCGCTGAGTCTGATTTCAGTGCCGGCCCTGGCCGAGACGCAGAGGGAGACCTCAGCACCCCAGGGTCTTATTGTCAAGCTGTGGCGCAAGGTCTACGACAAGGGCAAGGCTCAAAACCCGCCTGTCGCAGCTGCCACGGCCACCGCGTTTCTCTACCTCGCCTGGTCGGTTCGCGCCGGCGGTCCTCTTTTCCGGCATAGCCAGTATAGTCTCACGGGATTGTACACCACCGCGGCGATTTTGACCTTGAGTATTGTGCCATATACTATTGTCACCATGCGACCCACCAACAACGCCTTGATCCGATTGGCGCAGACCCCCGAGGATCTGACATCCGCCGGGGTGAAAGAAAGTAGCACCCTGCTCAACCGCTGGGTGTTTTTGAATGGGATCCGGAGTCTTCTACCTTTGGTGGGTGGGATGCTGGGTGTAACTGCAGCTCTCCTTTGAATAAAGAATTGGTCAAGGGGCCGGCGGACGGATATGCGTGCGATTTGGTGCCTTTTTTTGCCTCTTTCCCCATCTCCTCCCGTTTATCTCTCTCTCTATCCTTTGCCTGGGCTGCTCTTCATCGGCGGTCAACAACAGCAGATACCTGCCTACTTCTAGCAGGTCCTCTTTCTGCCGCGATACTTCTGGTTTATGCACAGCACCACACATGTGCGAGTGTTCCAACACGTGTAAATATTAACTATAATAAGAAGTTTCTCCAGGAGGTCTATCACCCAATGCAGCTCTTGTTCAAGAGGAGGGTTGCTTGGAGGGCCTTTTGTTGGCGTATAACTTGGCAACTTAGCTGTATTTGCGGTTCTTAGGGCTGCTCTTGTACGGTAAGTTGTTCACCGGGGAACCATCGTACGGTACGTACTTACAGGTCGCTGGTCTGGGTACTGTATACACAGTACTGTACTCTGGTATCTGGTACCCTGGTGTCTACGGTGTAAGGTGGATTGCATTATACGTAGTTCAGTTCCAAGCCTCGGATGAGCTAGACTTCATCTACGGAAATAGGCTACTGCCGAATTGAATTTGGTGGGTGACGTCTGACCGTGGTCATTCCTATACTTCGGGTGTGGTCGTCTAGAAGCGGTGCTATGGAGTATCGAGTAATATAACTCAACTATCGCGCAGGTCTTGCTGCTCATGGTTCTGTGTCTTGTCTACGTTATTACCAAGTAGCTATGGCAGTGCGCTAGGCGTCCGGCACGTCCACGGCATTCATCGCTGCTTCACTTTGCTGTGGTTGGGTTGGGAATTGACAAAACAGTACATGCTCTTTCTTGCCGACAGACCAATAACTTGCTGCGTACTGGATAAGGTGGTGCAGGAGCAAAAAGATATGGTCCCAGAGGGGCTCGAACCCTCGACTTTAACGTTATTAGCGTTACGCTCTAACCAACTGAGCTATGGGACCCCACTTGTTGATTCGGCCGAGGATAGAATGTTATATGTCCTTGAATATAACTGCAGTAGGCTAACCGTCTGTGGTGGATTGACTGGCCTAGCTTGTCCAGGCTCAGGCTTGGCTGGTCATTTATGTGGTTGATCCATGTAGCTCTGCTGTTCTGTGAGCTCCGGACTTCGGTGGAGAATCGCTGGCTCTGGAAGGCCTTCGTTCGACCTGCGGATAGTGTATTTTCATGGTTGGATGTATATATCCCGCTCGGGTTGGATGTGTACACCCAACTCCAATTAAGTATGCGGTGTACGTCACTCACGACCAGCCCGAGCACTACAGCAGAGGTAACAAGCGCATGAGATGCAAATGCAGCATAGAAACGTGGCCTACGCTGCTAGCTCAGTTACTGCTCAACTGGACATCAAATGTCAAACCAATCACCACAGGCACGGGTCACTGGATACTTACTACATGATAACCACCGTAAATTGTCAGCGAACTACGTATTCACTGTACACCGGGGCTAAATCTCCTTTCTCTTCTCATCTCGCTGGCAACCATCCTTCTCAGCTTCAAGATTGTCGCTGTGCCATTACTCCCCCCCCCCCCCGATATCACTTGCTGACTATCGGACTGAGCCCGTACTCGTGACCAGGTCACAAGGAACTTCTGCCAATCCACCCCATCCTCTTTTAATCGTTCTTGGAATCGATGCCTCAACCCGGAATTCAGTGCTGCCTAGAGCTGTTCCAAAGATTGGGTGAGTGGGTCACTTGATTGATCGAGGGTTTTCACTTCCTTGCATAGATGTGTCCAAGCAACAGCTTTGAGATGGGCCGGGGGCTAGGGGACAATACCATAAGAAGGGGTCTGCCTAGCATCAGTTAACCTACTCTGGGGGTGAGGGAATAGGGTCGACTCGGGGAGTGTATCGTGCAGTCCAATGTGCTCTGGCGGAGAAGCACATACATGCAGGGGGTGCACACCTGAGAATCGTGTCCGGGCCAGCGCGTGTCCGACAGACACGGGAGTGATGCACACACAGTATGCGTATACCTCTTGTGTAGGGTTCGTGTAGACCACACAGCCCGGCAACTACAGTACTCAGTAAGGTATATACATAGCCCACCCATCCCACACTGGACTTTGACCAGGAACAAAATTGCAAGCCGGCAGAAACGTGGTTACCACCCAGTTAATAGCGTTATCAGCCACCAAGGTTCAATATTCGATCCCTCCCAAGCCAGGCAACAGACACACACCGCAATCCATCCAATCCCCAACACCACAACCCTGCTGTATCTCAAGAGTATCTACACAGCGGTATGTTTGGGACATAACACATTAATTTAGGCCCAAGAACAACAACCGGGTCCCATAGCTCAGTTGGTTAGAGCGTAACGCTAATAACGTTAAAGTCGAGGGTTCGAGCCCCTCTGGGACCATCTTTTTGCCCCCATGCATTCTGTTTTTGCCATTGGACCTTGTTGGAGAGTCGAGATAGAGGCCCGAGAATGGGGAGGAAGACACAGACGAAGAAGATTGACCGATGAACCGAGACTCCGCGATGCAGGTCCTATCGAGCGCCAGGTCCGGTAGTACATCCACACCTCACCGATGGCTGGCAGCTTTCCTTTGTATATCAAAATGGGACGCTTTTTGCTGGTACTACAGTAACTCACTCGACACCTCGTAGCGTCATGCTAGCAAGGTTTGTGGCTGACCGGTTCCACCGCCCAAGTCAATCTTATCAACAAACTCTAAATGAAATGAATTGAGTTTGGGACATACTATATCACCACGGCATCACCACGTAGGCGCCATCCCCCCCCCCCCCCCACCCCCATTTCTTTAGCCTAGCCAGAAGTAATTCCACCGAGTCTTCAGACGCAAGCTGTTCCCGACCCGACTTATACCCGTCTTGAAGGATATGCCCATCGAGATCTGTAGGTTATCCCCTCCTCGCCAACCGCATCAATACCACAACACAACACCACACCAGTCACCGCCCACCGCATACATACACCCGCCCTACAAGAAACGGAGACATCGCGCCCCATCAACTGCAGCGGCTAGCCTTGTACCCAAGGTACCCCCGCAGACGACCACCGACTCCGACATCAACACCCAACCGGTCCAATGGCTTGCACAACTGCATACTGTAACATCCACCAACGCAGAAGACCTCCAATGCACCCAGAAAAATCATTCCCAGCTGAGGTTAAAGGTACACACCACTATTCCACTGACTGCGGAAGGGCCCCGCTCACCGACAAGCACCAGCTCAACATACGGAGTATAAGCATCCCCAACGCCCCCTCCAACAACACCACAACCTCCGCAGATCCCACGAACAGATACAGATAATACCCGGCTTTTTACGACCACTGCTTAACAGTGGTCTGTAGAGCACTAACTGAAGCGTCCACTACAGCAACCGGGTCCCATAGCTCAGTTGGTTAGAGCGTAACGCTAATAACGTTAAAGTCGAGGGTTCGAGCCCCTCTGGGACCATCTTTTTGCTATCCATCCATGTCTTCTTTCTGTTTTTGCTAGTGGATCATATCCGAGGTGAGATCTGTGGGGAGACAGACAGCGTTGGGCTGGGTTGCTTTTCCTTTGTTCAATTTGCTGGGCAGAGGGTGGTTGTGGGTGGGGGTAACTAGATATGCCATATGCCCCTGGAATGCAATCGTGATCTGATCGGATGAGATGCTATCTATGTACAACGCAAGTAGTGGTATCTAGCCTTGAAGTAGGCAACTAGGTAGTCTCGTAAACCCCATAGCCCCATTACCAGTAACAAGGAAGAATGGTAGTTAAAATCTACCGATCACCCTTCTTCACCCCCCTCACCTCCTTCATCGCCTCCTCCACCAACCACACACTCACATCCTGCGCATCCCGACCGACCCGCCAGCTCCCCAGCACCACGCCGCGGGTCTCGAGCAGCTCCTGCGCGCGCTCCCACCGCCGCCGCCACATTTCTTCCCGTTTATTCGGCAGCGGCGCGGCGGGCGGCGGGTTCTCGGATCCCCCGGTCCGGTCCGTGACACCGCCGGTGTTGGTTCGATTAAGTGAGGAGTTCGACTGCGTGGAGCGGAGGATGTTGGCCGGGGAGGCGGACCAGTTCAGACGTTCGGAGGCGTACTGCAAGGCTGCGGAGGCTGCTGCGGCGGGGTAGGATTGCTGCTGCTGCTGCGGTGGCTTTTGAGGTGGGGTGGGACGGTTGGCTGTGGATTGCTGGGATGAGCCGGAGCTTTCGACGGACGCCAGGGTGTTGGCTCGACGAGGCGGAGGCGGAGGCGGAGGTTGCTTCGAGCGGGTAACCTTTGCATCTCCCATCTCCCGGTCGAGACCGGCGGTCTTCGGCCGCGTGGGTAGTTGCTGCCTCGTGTTTTCCACGGCTGCGGTCCGGTCCGGCGAGACCTCGGGCTTGGTGGAGGACCGACGTGGTGGTAGGGGAGGCACGGGCTTCCGCTTGATCGACTCCCCCACCGACATGTCGGTGTTCGTTGAATTCGAGCGGAGAGAGGAAGGCTTCGACGGTTTAGCTGGGGGTGTCCGTCCGGCGGGAGACACCGAGGGAGTCTTCCGATCCCGGGATGAGGCTTCCCGCTCGTCGTCATCACGAAGATCAATCAGGTCTCCATTGTCCAGGCTGACGGCATCTGCAGATGGGTTGTTGGCCGATGATGCGAGAGGCCGTCGAGGCGGGAGCGCCGGCCTCTTGGGGGCTGCATCGGAGTCATCGACAAGCTGGGGATCGCTGCGACTCGCAGACACTTTGTGTTCCAGATAGTCCACGGACTTCTCGAAGAATTCCTTCTTGTGCGTTGTGGTGACGTCGCGGATGAAGATGCCTAGGATCCTGCCTGGATTGGCCAGGACGATATCGGTATAGACCTCCAGATCCGCCTCGCCGCTGTCGCCGACCAGGATGAACTTCCTTGCAGGGAAGTCTTTTAGGATCTGCTCGAGGTTGCCCTTCTTCCGCTCCGCCGTGGGCTCAAAGATCCCCTGGAGCATCCCACTGTACTGCTTGAGATGAATCGAGCCCGGAGGCAAGCCGACTTGCTTGAAATACCGCTCCAGGAGCGGGTAAAGCTGCCACGGGGCGTTCGAGACATAATGGAAATCCACCCCCATCTTCGCCAGCTGGTTGTACCAGTCCGCCACGCCCTCGATCGTCAAATCGGCCAATTCGCGGACGAAGGTATTCCGGAAGATCTCCTTTGCGCCGCTTGCGATGGCCGAGTGCTTCACCGTATCGTCGATATCACTGATCAGACTGACCCCGGAGGGCTCGATGATCTGCACCTCCTTCACGACCGATAGATTCTCCGAGGCGAGGACGCGGATATGGGTCGGGACGAAGGGCAGGGCGGCGCGCATCCTAAAGTGGCCGGATAAATCCGTCATGATACTCCTCGACTGACTCCGGGTCTCGTCGAAGAAGAACACGGTCACCGGCATATCCGTGACGGGGTTGGTGAGAAACGGACGCAACCGCTCCATCAAATGCGCATTGGCCATCGAAAGCTCGTCCTTGGTCATCTGCGTCGTCGTCGTCGTTGTCGCGGTACTCGCCAAACTCGACGAGGTCCCCGTCCGTTGCGGCAGCCGCCCCGGGACCACCCCGGGATTATTGTCTCTGTCACCTCGATCGCCCCCCAACGCACTCTCCTTCCACGCCGAATCCGCACGCCCCTCCGCTCCCTTGATAATAGACTGGGCCTCCGTATCGACCAGCTCCTCCTCCCGCCGATCCGTCTTCCCCCCGAATTCATCCCCCAGATTCCCCCCCGATCCAGCCCCCGCATTATTCACCGGAGCAGGCACACCACTCAACTTCCTCGCCAAAGCAACCATCAACCGATGCTTCCGCGTCATCGGCCCGCGATGCGGCGCATAAAGCCAACCGCGCACATCCACCGAGACGACCGCATTCTTCTCCACATAGTCATCAAACCCGGCCACCGTATTTTGGTCTGTGTCGAGACCACGATACTCATCAATCGTCGCATTCGAGCCCCTCCGCCTCGCCCACGGGTCATCACCCTCATTATCGCCTACCCCCCTCGCCTCTCCACCTCTAGCTCTAGCATCATCCCTCACAATCCGCCGCCCATAACTCGGAAAAATCACCATCTCCTCCAACCCAGACCGCGCAATCTCCACATCCGGAAACGCCCCCGGCGCATCGCCCGTGTAGTACTCATCACCGTAATCCCGCTGCTGTGGCCCGCCCTGCCCATTCAACTGCGCCGCCCACTGCGCCGCATACGTCTGCCGCAGCTCGTTCGCCGCCTTGAGGTAATCGTAGACCTTCTTGCGGCGCGCGCCGCGAGGGGCGCCGGCCCCGCCATAGGAGGAGGAGGAGGTGGACTCGTATTGTGACATGGTCGTTGCTGGCGTTGCACCCGTCGCAGCCGTAGCCGTAACCGTAGACGCAGAAGCAGACACCCGTCCCCGCCTACTCCTACCACCCAACAAATACCCTAGAACCCCACCGCCACCACCGCCACCACCCCGTGAATCACCAAACCGAACCTGCGCAAGCTTGCGGGCCTGACGCCTGACGATCGCCCGGTAGACGCGGGCCTGGGCGCGGTGCCGGAGCGCCGGGAGGGTTTCGTGGCGGAGACTCCAGAGGCGGAGCTGGGCGCGGCGGAGCGAGTGCGGGCCTAGGAGGAGGGTCCAGAGGCGGGTCTTGCTTTTCAGAGTGCCGCGGGTGGAGGATTGGAGCGGTGGAGGGGCGAGGAGAGGGCGGTTGCGGCGGAGGAGGAAGGGGAGGGGTCGTTTGGTGGTGGGTGTAGATGTAGGGGGCGGGGGCGCGCGCCGGCGGGAGGATAAGGAGGAGGAGGAGGAGCGAGGGAGGAATTTAGGAGCCACGGTTTTTTGCTCTTCTCTTTTTCAAGATGGTTTATTGGGTGTAAGTGCGGTATCGCTTGGGTTGTGTGGATGTGATGAAGGACGGAAGAATGGAGTTGAATCGCTGGAGGGTGGGTTGGAGGTTCGAAAGTTGATGGGGCTGGGGGCTGGGCTCGTTTTGTGTGGAGGCGATGACGAACGATGAATTTGCTCGGGATAAGCAATGAAAGTCTATAGGGAACTTGTCAAGGTGGTTGCATCTCTCTCTAATAAAAGTTTCGCATGGACGGAGAGCTTGCTGTTGGGACGTACAGACCGTGGAAATTCAGCGAGAGAAATCAAGACATGGTCTAGGCAACAAATCTCAGAATTGAGCGTCTGAAGGGGGTAAAACAAGGCGAAGGCCTCGACAACGTCAAGCTGACGGCCGGAAGAAACCCGCGGTGGGGACACACACTTAGCCCGATTGGGAACATCTCTATCATTTCTACTATCGATGGCTTTGTCTAGACTCTGGAGTAACCTCGTAGGTAAATTGTCACATTACCATTAAAAAAGTATCTAGCTGATCCTCATATATACTATTATACACTCTGATCTATGATCTAGCCATACTAGATAGCATATGACCACCCAGTGACTGTTCACAGGACGCTGCAAGGTCCGATCAACCAGCAACTGAAAAGCAGTTTCTCTACCCCTGCTGTGCGACATAACCCCACCGCTCAGCAGGAGGAAGCAAAACTCAGATGCTCGTCAAGAACTCCATAAATCTTCCGCATCTCGGCGGTGCATGTCCGCATGCCTAATGCACGGCTGTTCTCATGCACGGTTATTCTGCAGCTGCAGCTGCAGCTGCCCAACAGACTTTACGCCGTAGCTAGACGACCTGCCGGACATCAAGCCGAATCAGGGTCCTCGGTATAATTCACCGTCTTCGCCCGCCTACTACGACGGACCCCAGCAACCTTCGTGCCGGTAAGCTGCGATGGCTCCGGGATATCGGGGTTTTCCATGTCCACGTCCGAAGCAGACGGCGTGGAAGCGATGGGCGAAGCCTTCCGTTTCCTGGATGTCGGCTTCTTGACACTGGAGGTCCGCTGAACCCGCCGAGTGGCCTTGGAGGCTGGTGTGACTGGTGCCCCGTTCTCCTCTTCGCCGTTAGCTTCCGGCTCGCCTTTCGGCAACGGTGAGTCGGCATTGGCGGCGTCCTTCGTCTTCTTCGAGACCGGTGTCTTTCGTGGGCTCTGAGGGACTTTGCGAACGACCTTCTTCGGTCGGAGCCATTCCTCCATGCCGGGCGGCCAGTACACTCTTCGCTGGGGCCCGCCCATACCGACATCCTCTTCCGGAACGGTCCGCTCGGGAGGGACTTGGCCTTCGAGATCGACGAATCCCTCCTTCTTCTTCGTCTTCCTCGGAGGCTTGAATGGCTTGTTCTCGTCCGTGCGCATGTAAGGTAGCATATCGTTGAAGAGCTCATAGCCTGGTAGCTTGAAAGTCCTCATCAGCTCGAACACGGCCTGCTCTTTGTCCTTGGCTTCGATCATGAGATCCATGGTCGGATCGCACGGAGGAAGAGTGGACACACGGTCGCTGTGCTTTCGACGCTGTCGGTTAGTGATGGCGGCCGCGGTGGGCTCGGAGTAATGCATCTTCTGGGTGATGTTCTTCCGCGTCCAGGTCGCTTTGATCCGGTCATACAGACCGATAATATCCTGCGTCCCCTCGCGGACTTGTGTCGCGTCGAAGATGATGTTGTGATGGTGAAAGTCCAGAACAAGCGGGATGTTCAACTCCTCGCAGATGGGCAGGAGATCGTGCACCGACCAGCTGACGTCGTCGTTCTCGAGCACAAGTCGGTTCTTAACATCCTGCGGCAAGGCCTGGTAGTTCTCTCGAAACCGGTCGAGAGTAGCCTGCTTATCACCGAAGACACCGCCCATGTGCAGGATCATGACTGCATCGCGGTCCTGCTGCGGGGGCAGACGAAGCAACTGCAGCATTTCAGAGTGATAATCCAAGTCCCGCAGAGAGTTCTCCACCACGCCATCATTCGGCGAGCCGAGTTGGGTGAACTGGCCCGGGTGGGTGGTCACGCGATGACCCAGCTCGGCGACGAGTCGACCGACCTCGGCCAGCGCCTCCGAGGCAAACGGCGCCAGCTTGTAGCCATACTCCTTGTGACTCGCAAACGGGAACATCTCACTGCTCAGCCGCATGAACCTGATCCCGTACTTGTCATTCCAGCGGATGATCTTGAGAAGATCCTTCGCGTTCGTGAGCCCCAGAGCCTCGACATACGCCTGCCCGCGTGCCACATCAGCCGGCTGATCGCGGTCCGGGCGATTCTTCGTCGGGTGGGGAGGCTGCGTGGGGTCCAGGAGAGGATGCCGATTCTCCAAGATGGAGGCGATGCGGCAGGTTCGAGAGCAGAAGACAGGCGGGTTCGAGTAGCGCAGGTATGTGTTCAAACAAGCCTACGACAATCATGTTAGAGGACAGACGACAGACACACGCCGAACCCAGGCAGCGAGGAGACTCACATAGCCCAATCGCCCTTTCCAGGGGAGGGGCAGGTAGCTGCTGTGGACGGGCGGAGGCCGCGACAAGGCGTCTTGCAGCTCTTCCGCTTCAACGGGGACATCTTCATCCGACTCCGGATCCAAGGGGGCAGCAGACGCAACAGTGGCAGCATCGCTCGTCTCAATGGACCCAGGTTCAGCTTTGATGCCCGGTTTCTCCGCGCCGTCAGGCAGACTGCCGCCCGCGCCGTTGGGTTTTATCTCAGTGGCGGCAGCCATTTCGTCAGCAGCCGGGGACTCGAGAAGCTCACTCGCAGTTCCGTATAATGGGCGAGACGGGGTAAAGGTTGCGACAATGGATGGGGTCACAATGCGTGACGGGGAGGTAGGAGACAGGGAAGGTGTGGCAGGTCTGCTCGAGTACGACAAGAGGCGCCTGCCAGCAATAAAGCCTAGGGAGCGGTAGGATCTCTGCGATTGTGTAATTGCGAAAAGCAAATTCGCCGCTGATGAGGGGTGGCGAACCTGGCGGGAGGAGCCAGAGCCAGATTCCTGGCCGCGTCCGGCATATTGGAGAGCGCGATCGATCCTCCACTGCCTGGGCGAAGCAGACCCCCGCCAATACATCTAGCAGGGCAGGAATTCTAAGAAAAAATAGAATTCCAAGGCTCTAAGTGAGACAGGTCCTCAGGCGCATCGTCAAACAAAAAAAAAGACAAAGAAATCTAGGCAAAACAGGTCTGTTGGGCGGGGATCCCATGCAGCATCATCATCATCGTTGTTGCGCAGGGATTTAATCGGGACGAAATGCAGAGGGTATGATGCAACAGAGAGTCAACTTGGAAGGAAGAAAAGATGTCGAGGCCGGGACTCCGGGCTAGACGAGAGAAGCCTTAGGCAGGGCACTAGTCACGGGCACTAAGCATGGTTCGGCGCCGCGGTTCCTGCATCCCGGAGGGATCGCCGATAGATCACAGCAGATCTAGTACAACACTACGATAACTTGAAATTACACTGCAGGCGCTAAATGACCCCTTAAGAGAATGTCTCCCATAAAACTATATTATTATTTTGGGGAAAAAGATAATCCTCGAGATGAAAAATAGTCCCATTAGATATGATACAATAGCAGGAAGCTATTGAAGATATTACGAGTACAGCTTCAGATCGATCAGCCTAGGCCACCGGAATCCCCGTCATCAGCGAGGCCAACCCCTTGGGGCCCAGCACATCCTCCAGGCTGAACCAGTAAGCTATCAGCGCGTTCGAATCGCCCGCATCGTATGCCGAATCATCCTGGATGGGTTTCTTGTTCTTGCAGAACACCCGCAGCTCCTTGCAGGCCACATCCCCATTCTTCTTCAGGTAGTCCCGCATGACGTCGCCCGCGCTCATGACGATGCGACTCACCAGCTCCTGTCCGTCGCCGGATCCCAGTCCCATGGCACGCGCCGACTGGGCCGAGCCGCGCGCAACGTGATGGATGAGGAGGACGATGTTGGAGATGAAGGACTCGTTGGGCATGTATCCTTCGGTGAAGTACTGGACGAACTTGTGGTGCTTCTTGCTGCGGATCAGGCGCAGGAGCTCGAGGGAGCGTTTGTGCATGCCGAAGTAGTTGTACAGGATCATCGGCTCCTCTTCGAAGAGTTTGGTCTTCAGGAAGGCGAGCAGCTGCAGCGTGTCGATGATGTGGGAATTCGACCACTGTCGGGTAAGCATCAGTTCCGGGTTGGCTCTCTGCTGGAGCTCCTTCTTGCTGGAGGACGATTCAAGCTTCGACTTCTGGGAAAGTTCGTCCAGGATGCTGTCGATGTGCACAATCCCGACATCCTCGCCAGGACCACCACCACTAACATACTGAGTAAAAAACAAGTTCGCGACGGTAGTGGTGGGCTTGAGCATACGAGCGTTCTTGCCATCGGGCTTATGGAATGGTCCGCTGCCCCGCGAATCGCGGGCGAAATGGGTTGCGGACGAGATGCCGGTGGCCAGCTCAAGCCTATTCAGAGATTCGCTGGCGTTCTTGGGCCGTGCACCCACGAAAATATGAGACTCGCCATGGATCTTGACAAATGCATCCATGTCGGGCCACCTCAGGTCTTTATGCATGGCACCATTTATGACAAGGTTGTGCAAGAAGGCCAGCTGTTGAACGTCGTACCACCGGGTGACAAGCTCCTGGCCCACACGCTGCATTCGAATATTGAGGTGGAACAGGACCAAGCCGCAGAGGAGAGCGTGCTGCGAGAAGAGCGCATGCTTCTCGGGCGGAGTGCCAACCCTGTCCAATTTAGACAAGGCTCGAACATCGAAGAACACATCTCCTTTGATCCATGCGTCCACGGTTGAACTGATGCTCCGAATCTCCTCATCACCCTCCTTAGGCCAGAACTTGGGCTGAGGGTGTGTCTTAGATAGTTGCAGGTAATCATCGATGGTCTTCTGGATGCGAAGTCCAGACATGCGGAGATCTCCAAATGCGCCCAAGGTGCTGTGCCGCATCGCATGGTGAACGTCGAGGAAGACCTGGGCGGCGAAACAGAGCCACATACCCACCTTTTTGGTCTTAGCGAACTCAACCAAGCCCCGAGTGATTGAATCCTCCGCAGGCAAGTGGATGCCGAACGTATCAACATGCAAAATTCGGGCAATATCGAGAGAAGGATGATCTTGTCTTCGTTGAACTTTTGGCCTAGAGACATCCGCCCTCTGTCCGCTTTCGGATCATAAATGCCGAAGTGGCCCTTCCTGAAGACTGGCTGATGATTCGCCTGGAGGACATTCGCAAACGACTCAAGCAGGATCTTTGTTGGCAAATAGCACCACTCAGCGGTATCCGCCAGGTTCTCGTTGTAGGGCAGGCCAACCTCCATGGACGGCGGCGCAAAGATGCCGCGCGAGAGAGCAGCAAGATTGTAGACCACAGTCTGGACATCACCCTTCCGCCCGGACAGCGAGGTGCGCCAGTCCGCTTCCACCTCCTTGACCAGATCTTGGGCAAGTTGCAAAGCACTGTCCGTCACGACAGCGGCATTCATGAGGTCGATCTTCTTCTCGTGATACTCCGCCCAGGTGATGGAAATGAACTTGCGCATGTTGTCCAGATCCTGCACCAAGCAAAGGGTCTTGAAGAACAGCTGGCCCAGGTACGAGTCCGCTGCGTCCTCGTCCTCGTCCTCTTCTTCATCGACGGTAACCTTGACGAGCTTCTTCGACACTGCGGGCGTCGGTTGCGACGGCGCAGTGTCCTTGGGCTCCTCCACCGTGAGGACCGCGAATCTGTTTAGGAATTGGTCGGCATCGACGTCGTCGGCTTGAGGCTGCTTAGCGTCCGGCTTCGTTGAGGACTGGTTGGTCTTCCACTCCAGAGTCTCGCAGATCTGCTCCAGCGCCGTGATGAAATGGGCATGACGCTTGTTGTTCGCAGAGTCACCCTGGCCCAAAAACCAGGATGTGACCGCTTTTCTCAGCTTGATGGCGCGCTTCGCAAGGGCAAGGACCGACTTGGGTACTGGGAGAGCCGAACCGGCCACGACCTCGGCGAACTTTTGCAGATCTGTAGTGGTGGCACTATACTGAACGGGCTCTGCGTCAGAGTCGCCCTTCTTGCCTTTGCGTTTGCCTTTTTTCGTCGCGGTGGGGAGGGTAGCAGAGAGGGTAGGCGGTTGATAGCCGCATCGATTAGCTGTCTCCAGTAGCCATGTTGCAAATGTGTTGGTGTCCGCTTTATAGCGGGCGTAACTGCTCTGCAAAAAGTCAGGTAGCATGACTGCGATAGATGGGTTGCAAAGCAAAGAGCCCTATGAGATGGAGAAAAGAAATGGAGAAAAGGAATGGAGAAAAGGAATGGAGAAAGGTGTGTGGAAGTGGAGTGGAACCGGAGTGTGTATTCTTAAAAGGCTTGTTTGCGTTTGCTCCAGTTTCAAGAAGGCGGACCACGCAAGCGGGGGGAGGACGCGTGCGCGCGACACATCAGAATCAAAGTGGCTGGAGTACAAGTGGACTGCTCGGAAAGCCACACGAAGCTTAAAGAAAGAGCTATATAAGACATATATAAGAGGAAAATTAAATAGGTAGTAATCCTAAGAGAAATTGATATACAAAAATGTGCTTGACGGTGTCAAGGTTGGTATAAGATGAAAGAATGAGTTTCATACTGTCATTCCCAGCTATCCACTCAAAGTCAAACGTGAAGCAAACCCGGGAGTTTTATCCCCATGAGATGCCATACTACGTGGTTAGAATGGCATTCCACAAAATTCGTTGTCTCATCATATTCGTCCACGAAGCAACTAGTGCCTCCTCCTTTGCGGGTCTTGCGTCATAGAGTGTATACGGAATTGACCACACAATGCATGGAAGGATAGTGCAGTGCCTAGTAATTAGCCGAGTAAGCAGAATTGCCATAGCCGTAGCCAGGAGGAGCTGCAGCCTCCGGCGCGGTGTGCTTGTTGCGCGTAAACAGACCACCCGTACCGCTGGTCTTCTCGGTGGGAGAGGTTCCTAGCTCAACGTCGCGGGGCGCCGGATGACTGGGGAGCATGTCATCTGCACTGGCGGTCTCCGGGTTGTTCTTGTTGCGACGCCAGAAGAAGCCCCGGCGTTGCGTGCCGGTGCCATATGTGTACCCGTTGGCGGGGGAGGGGCCGAAGCGCTTCTCGCGCTTGTGGTGACGGGCGAGAAGGACTTGAAAGAGGATGGAGATCAGGAATAGGAAGCTATATTGGATACAATGTTAGCACACACACATATTTCACTCGATAAACGCTCGAGGTAAGAGTGGAGCGACTCACATTCCAATAATAGCGACGGCAAATGAAGCCTTCTCCAGCACGCACGCATACCCAAGACGCACGTGAGTGTTGGCGTCGTCGGTATTGCTGGCACCGGAGCCCAGCGGCGTGTCGACGTTGCCGGAGCAGCTTTGGGTGCCTTTGCGAGTCATGATGGCGATGGCGATCATGGCCCCGATGAAGCAGACATCGAGGAGAACGGCCACGGCAGCAAAGAAGGTGACTCCACCCAGACAGCAGGTGAAAAGGATGCCGAGAATGCCGTAGAGGGTCGCTGCACCCGATAGGCCTTCGACGGCCTTCATCCATTGAGGAATTGTCTGATCATGGCGGGCGAGGACGGCGAGGAAGTATGAGAAAATGCCGAGGATGACTGCGGCATCGAGGAACTGGAGGATGCGAATCGCGAGATTCGCGAAGCGGAGGATGACACCGCCAACACCCATGCTGGCAGTCGATGGCTCCTGCTCTAGTCCTTAAAAAACAATAGGCTTGTTGATTGTATATGAACCTGTGTCAGGACAACCCACTGGCCTGTGGTGTATTGCCCGAGTGGATTGATTGGTGTTTGAAGCTAGTGAACAAGTCTCGAGACTTTCCAAGCTGAAATGTGACGGGTTTTAGGGGGTACAGGCGATGATATACTGGGGGAGGGGAGAAGAATTTGCAACGGGCCTGCCCCGGGAGGCAGCAGAATTGCATTGTTAGCAGGCCCAGGGGACGGGGGTGTGTGTGGCAGTAGGATGATCAGTGGATGCAGTGGAGGCCATGTCCCGTTGAACCGCGGCCGAATAGGCCCCGTAAAGAGGGGAAATGAACGCATTGCGACGATCCCACGGACAAGGTCCAGCAGTTGGAAGCTCAATCATTGGCTTCGGAGGATGAATTAGGATGTCACCAGCCACACACGACAGTCGGACCCTGACGGTGGTGATATCATCAGGGTGGAGGATGGAGGAGGGTGGAGCCGGCCCATTGGCGGGTAGACGCAGGTCTAAGCCCTGCACCCTCTCGTGCACCGCCAACTGCCCGGTCAAGTTAGTGGAAAAATGCTAATGATTCATTTTAGGTATAAGCAAATTCTATGGACGGCTTCGCCGGATGTTCCATTAATAGCGTACTGAGTAGTTTATTACTCAAAAGAAAAAGCTAATTGATCATCTCCATTCTGGGTGATGAACGTCCATTGTTTGTTTGCCTTGGACACGGCAGTAATTCCACAGTACCAGGGATCAGTCCCAGGGATAGGCAGCGACAATCCACCGGAACCATGTGCCATAAAAAGAAACCAAAAAGTCAAAAAAGAGCTGGTCCCAGAGGGGCTCGAACCCTCGACTTTAACGTTATTAGCGTTACGCTCTAACCAACTGAGCTATGGGACCCGGTTGATGTATTGAGCCTTGGTCTTAGGCTAGATGAGGATTGCACAGCAGGGACGTCGCTGTCATGACCATCTCACTCGATATACGTCATGGGGAGGATGGGGCCTGGTCCTGCGTAGAATTGAGAGATCGCCTAGGTATATTGTCGCAATCACATCGATAGATTTAATGAATTGATGTCAGTGGTGTGTATAGATACCACACCGTTGCGCATCCCATATTGTGCGTCTGTGGTCCGAGGCAAATGCAGAATTAAGTCCATGTAGGTTGTCGGCCAGGAGGATAGGCCGGATACCGCTGTGGTGACGAGGGACTGCCCCATCAAAGCCCATACGCCCGCCTAATTTCGAACATCCAAAAGCGAAACCAAAGCCCCTCACGCTAAAATCAATGACGCATCGCTGGCCGCCTCTCATCATCACCCATCGACGAGACAGAGGAGATCTCGTCGAGACTCGCGCGGTGGACCAGGGATGGCCCTCTACTGTATCTCGAAATCTCAGAGACAGTGTCATCTAGAGGATGGTCAAACGGGGATGTCGGCCGCTCGCGCCTCGACACTTGCCGTGAAGGAACGTCGGTACTCGTCACGGGTGATATGTCTGCCTCCGCACGCTCCGGATGCCTGGAATATGGCGGTGGCTGTTCCAGCGTGGTGTTGATCCCTGGTGCTAGGCTGTGCTGACTAGCAGGTGCATCAAGGCTGCGTGACTGGCTTGTAGCGAGGTGGTCGCTCGAGTGGTTCGAGGTGTCGTATGGTATAGGTCCCGTGAAGGGAATGTTATGAGTACTAGCGTTTGTGAATCCCCAGGGTGTCGCTTGAGGTGGTTGCGATCTCGGTAAGTTCTGCTGCGGTTGGGGTAGTATTGGTTGTCGAGGGACGGTCATTACATCGATCTGAGAAGTAGATGGGATGACATGGCCTCGAACACGACGGCGCCTCCGTCGAAGGAGGAAGAATAGCAGGCCCAAAATGATGGCTGCGCCCGCGACAGCAACAGGGATGGCGATGGCGAGGGTTTTGGTGTTGCTGCCGTTGCTGCTGCTAGCAGAGGAAGTCGACGTGGAAGACGTGGTTGTTGAAGTTGTGGGTGATGGATTAGTGGTCTGGGTAGCTGTGAGAAAAGAGTCGGCTGCTGTAGGTGTCGTCGCGCTGGCGGCGATAGACTCCGAGGGCGATGCATTTCCCCCGGCCTGGGATGTGCTGCCGCTGCTGCCACTGCTGTCGGCGCCTTCCCAACTGCCTTGACTGCCATCCTGAGATCCACCTGTGCTACCTCCTCCTGACCATTGGCTTCCACTATCCATTCCAGACATGACAGCGACAGTGATCGACTGGTCTAACCATCCACGCCTGTCGTTGTTGACCGAACAGAATCGCACAGCGAGGTCGATAAGATACGCCAAGCCAGATCGATAAGTACTATATAGCACTACCGAGAGAATTCCCAATATAGACCCAACACGGAGAAAGCAAGTAGAGACCTCAAGATGCTAGGTCAGGGTCGACGGTGCACACAGACTAACAACACAGTTAACGTCTCAACACGCGTCTGAAGCCAGACGTATCAACATACAAAGATCAAGAGACCCTGAAATAAAAGAGCCCTCCTTCTGCTCAGATGCTTATGTCAGTACACTGTACCTGGTCAAAGAAAAATACAAAGAACCAGCGTATACTCACCACAATGAACACTATGCACCTAGAAATTGCCCGGATAGAAAGTCTCTACAATAATATCGAGTAAAAGGAAGAGCAAAATCAGAGAATCACAGAAGAAAGAAAAAAAAAGAAGAAACGAAAGTCGGAAACAACAGCCTAGAAGAAAAAAGAGAGAGAGAGAGAGAGAGAGCTGACATGGCGCAGCAGTATCCTCTTAGTGAACGAGGTATAGTACACCAGCCTAAGGCCCAACTTCTGAGGGCTAAGGAAGTACTACAGCCCGCGCCCGCCTCCCCCCATGTAGGGACCGGCCTACCAATCACCACCAGCTTGCACGGCGTAAAGCGCCGGTACATGCCATGGACGACACGCAATGCAATAATAAGAATAGTATTCTGCCCGCTCACGAGGGTGAAACGAACGCCATTGTTAGCCCCATACCCCCCCCTCCATCCTCCTCACCAGTCGGAATGATTGGCGCCGAACGCATGTTGGGAGTGGAAGAAGATGTACTACTAGTGTACTTGTACAACTGGCACATGCTAGGGTTGAAACCATTGGGGGGGGGGGGAACCGGTCGCCGTATGGAATAAATGGCAACAAAGGAATGCTTTGCCTCCTTACTCATGTGTCAATGAGCGCGTGGGAATTTTAGGTCGATTGTGGATGGTTGAAGGACTGAATGGGGTTCTCCACCGAATAGCCTGATCGACGCATTAGCTTGGGGTGATGGGGGTCTGGAGACGTCGGCGCATTGCGTGGCCCTGATATGCCCTGGATTATGGAGCCCGGCTGCTTTTGAATCGGTTGTGATCGCACGGCCTCTGCGGGGCGAGGTTATCGTTCAATCGTCAACATGGAAGTTGAGGTTGAGGTCGAGGTCTATGATACAAGGGCCAAATTCCAAGTACAGTGCACTGCGTTGTGTC